TCTTTTTTTTGAGTTATTGCCCTTTTTTTAATAGTCGTGCTTTATTTTTGTCAGAGCCATTTCTCCTTAACTATAAAAGCTTAGGACATGAAACTTCATAGGATGATAGGTCTCATCGAGATGAAGTGCAGGGCACAAAAACCGGTACTCCATTTTTTGAGTTACTGCCCTTTGTTAATTTTCATACTTTACTATTGTCTTCAACTATAAAAGCTATGGACTTGATTATCTTCATAGGATGATAGATCTCATTAAGAAGAAGTGCAGTGCACAAGAACTGGTACTCTGCACTTCTTATTTTTTTAGTTATTTCCCTTTAGCAGTGTTTATAAATAACCTACATTTAAGAAGAAAGTGACAACTATACTGTTCACAAGGCGACACTTGCGGAGTTCTAGTTTTGAAGAAAAAAGTACAGGAGGGCCTTGCTTTCTGCAAACTTTAACTTTGAGCATAACTTTTTAAGTTCTTGGTGTATTGTCTTCAAACTTGGCCACAACAACCCATAAGTTTACCAGACTAAACTTGACCTTCACTCATAAATGACCTTGACTTTGAAGGTAAAGTTTTCTGTTTTTTTTGCTGTAACTGGCTTTAACTTTGATGTTAATGAATGGATTAACTTCATATTAAGACACAACAGTCTTTAGGATGAGACCTTTATGTATATCAAACTCAAATTGTCCAGATCAAATTAATGAAATTGTCATGTTTTTTTTAAACATGTTCAAACTTTATTAATAATAATGGATTGACTTCATATTAAGACACAACATTCTTTAGGATGAGACCTTCATGTATATCAAACACAAATTGATCTTGGCTCATTTATAATATTGGCCTTGAATGTCAAATTAATTAATTTTCTCTGATAATTGCTATAATTAACTGTAACTTGGTAATTAATCAGTGGATTAACAAAACAAAGAGTGTGATTAGACAGGTCTATTAAAATAAAAAAGGGAAAACTTTTTTTAATTTTCTTTTTAATGATTTGTTTAAACACGGATTTATATTGTAATATAAATCCGTGGTTTAAACCAGTTGTCGAGCGTTGTCCCCGCCAGGCGGTGGCTCAAGAAACTTGAACTAACTTAATAAGGCAATGGTAAAATATTTGCACGTAGAAAAGCCGCATGTTCTAAGGCCTATAAATCTGGTGCCTCTCCTGACTTCAGTCACTTCAGGCTGGGCCACCGAAAAAAGGAGAGGTCGGGCTACAGCAAAAGCCAAATCGGAATAACGGGATCTCCGGAAAATGGGGTAAAATCGGAGCGCGAAGAGTAAGCCATGCTTTATTTCGTAAGCCCGCGGGTTTTGCCTTAGATTTTTTTATTTGCGAATACATATGCATCTACATGTCATTTATGTATCAAGTAGGTAGCAGAAGACCATAGTTTTTATAACATTGCAATTAAATTTCTCGAATTCTGAATGGATTAAACATTTCATACCATGACGTATATATCGTGGAGAACAGAAGCACGCACAACTAACAATGTATTTCTACATCGGAGACGGTTAACTATGTTGGTGCATAACATTTTAATTACATTTTGATATGGTATACTTTCTCGATTCAAATGTCAAAACTTCAAGAAAAAAATAATTAAAAGTTACACCGCAATGATGACTTTTTACTGATTATGCAGCGTTAGCGCAGCTATTGATGACGTGCGACTTTTTCCCGTACTTTAAAAAAAATCTAAAGTTGCTGTGCTTTTTCATGAATTTGTCGCCAATAATAATTTGCGATATTATAAATTCGTTATACAAGTTGTTGACGGGATATACGGGATAATATAGCCTTCCTGACATATAACTCCTCGGGTCATATATTTATCTCATTCAGACTAAATTCTCCCGTATAATCCCCTCAGCAACTTGTATAGCTAGCTATACATCTATATTTTACTGAATGAATTGTAAGGTAAATATATAAATAGCTTTTCACACACATACACGCACGCATGCACGCAATTTAAACTAAATAATGTGTATTTCAGCACCAACAAAACAAGGCTTAAATCTTAATCTAAAAGCAAGACGAAAAATAGCATACATACCCGCCTAAAATAGAAAAAATGCATATTGACTGTTCATATCGTTCAGTTTATGTCTATTTACATGTATATATATAATGTTAAATGGTGACTTTATATTAAAATTACAACTCATGTTTATTCCCCTGCATGAATGACTGCATGGGGTATACATTTTGGCAATATCAACCATCGGCGTTTTTGTTTCTAGTTTGAAACGCGGACGATGTATCAAACGGAGAAGTTATACTAGTATAAGGTATTGATATAACGGATAGCCATTCATACACCCCGTATAAAACTATAAAATCAAATCATATAGTCGTTCTAAATAGAAAAATGAAAGTCCATGGCTTGCTGTACGTATTTTAGATGAACTTAAAATGTAAATTTATACTTGGTCGTAAAATATCCATAATTTGTGGGAGAAAGTTACCTATGGTTGGGGAAGATGTTTTATATTTGGAGGTCTCGATAGGCATGTCGAACTCGAACCATTCACATCAACCTGTTGAAAATTATTGTATGCATGTTTCGATAACAGTTCCCTATATCCACCAAATATATTTTCTTGCCTATCTCGTCTGCACATATTTTGCAAAGCAAAAGTAAAAGTTTATATTGAAATCATATCTAATAATTAAGTCGCACGCATGCAAAACATCGAATAATGAATAGTATCAGCAACATATGAAACACGTGATATTAGGATTTTAATTACATGTGTAACATAATCTTCATCCTTCAATTTGGAGGTATTTTTATGCCAACGCTTTTTTTTTGTGTGTAAGCAATAATAATTATTTGCTTTCATTTCTCCTAGGCGCATCCGTGTCCGAGTGGTTAAGGTCTTTGATTTCAAACCACTTCCACTCACCGCTGTAGGTTTTAAACCGCAAGAGCCTTTGGATTCTATCATGTGGGAAAGCTATCCAGCTAGCTTAGAAACGTCGGTAGATCAACCCAAGTTCCCGCTCGTGTCCGAAATAATGCAGAGAGGGGCACCATGGGCACCTGACGTCTCCTCCAACAGCAACCATGACAGCGACTTAAAACCCAGCCAAAACGTAAGCGCATTGGATCTCTTGCCTCACATCTTAAAACTTCACGCTGCCTCTTACCCGAAAACATCGGAGGCCGTCAGATACATGAGAAATATAGTCACCCTAAGGATATGGTGCCACCTTTTTAAATTGGTCTTTGGACTGCTTATTTGTGATATGCAGGCTTCATAACATCTGATAACCTTTCAAAATTCCATTTTGTTTAGTGTTATACAAGCTTTCTTTTACTTGGGGACCGTACATGCTACATTCATGGAATGGCACAAAAGTGTCACATTAAGTAATTGTTCCACGAATGTTTCTAAATTCAAATTTTTTACCATTTTCGTGTTTAAATGTTGAAATTCTGATTAAGCCGATGCTATTGGGGTGGACCGTAACTTGCACTTTCAAGCACCGTCCACTAACAGGCTCAATCAAATCGAACCCGCAACGTTTTTGATTTTGGCGTTTTGCGGCATTCTCTAGGATTACATTTCTTTCTATTTTTTTTTTTTTTGCTTATTCTGCATATCCATTGTTTTAAAATGTTTTTAAATAATCAACAAAATAAACAATAGGCCTATAAATTATATCATGTGGCATGGAAGTTATGTTTTTTTTTTCTTTTAAAATTAACTGGGATGATTACAGAACTTAAAGCATGAACTATTTTAATGAAACAGATCTATTTATTTTTATCTAAAAATTGTTCTACATTGTCAGGTTTATTTACTTTTTTTTATTTATAAACAAAGACTCATGGCCCTTAAGGGCATAAGAGTGAACACTCAACAAAACAAAAAATAATAATACAAACATGGTATAGAAGTAAATAAGTAAATAAGGAAGATGACATATTGAAATTTCAGCATTATTGCTTTGAGAAAAATGGCTAGATTAAATAAAGTATATCTTGTCGCTACACATTAGAGCCTGAAAATTTAAAATACTAGGAAACCTTGAATAATAATTACTGATATACCTGGCACTAATGCTCTTCCGTAAAATAGCGACCTTTCTCTATAGGAATATTAGAATTGAGACATCTAAATTTACAAAGAGTAATTGCTAAATTTCTTGGTAAACATAGTAAATAATGTTCTAATTTAAATTGAGTTTTATATATTCTATAATTTAAACACTTAGCAGAATCAAAAACATCACTATTCCATACTTGTAAAAACTGATCCCGTAATCGTGATTTTATTACATATTTAAAAATATTAAAATTGTAAACATTCTGAGTTATCAAAAAATCAGAACAACCAATATTATTCAAAGTAGATTTTACTTTCTCAATCCACTTAATTACAATGTAAAATACCCTTTTCATGAAGATTATACATAATGTAGTGCGGTACAAAGAAGCACATATATTTTACCATTAGCTAATTGACTCCAAAAATTCTGCAAGTAATATCATTTTCAATAGGAAATGCACCTAATTCTCCCAAGACCGTAAACGAAGGAGTTGACATCTTAAGTTTAAGTATATATTTTTGAAACTGAGAAATAATAGAATTATTTTCAAATCCCCACACCTCCGACCCATACAATAATATTGGCTGAACCATACTGTCAAACAACTGTAACTGAATATCAATTGGCAAACACAATTTCTTAATTTTAGTTAAAATACTAAACATAACCTTCCTAGCTTAGTGACAGTGCTTTTTGTTTTATTAAATTTACCATTAAAGTTGAATATCACACCTAAATAACTAAAATCATCTACAGCTTCTAGAGGTGCATTATTGAAATAAAATACAGGCTTATTTACCACGAGAAAATACAACAACTTTTGTAAAATAAGAAATGCTCGTACATGTTCGTTAATATGAATTGCTTTCGTATTTTTGATATGTACCGCTAAAATTGGTGGTATTTAACCTTGCATTTTATATCACACAAAGTGTTAAAATTATATGCACCGTTTCATTTGGCTCAATCCAGAAAACGTAGAAAAACAAGAAACGTCATAAAAAGTTTTGTGCACGATGAGGAACCTTAATGGTTTTCTCCTGTGGAGTTTCATTCTTTTAAACGGTTTTAACTATGTTAAAGCTGCAAGTAAGTTAATTAATTTTTTATACGATTCCAAATCTGTCGTCGTTAAATTATGAGACAGAATTTCAACTGCATGAATTTTGACACTTTAACAGTTTAACACCAAGTCTGTTAATAACAGATTAATACCAGTTTACACTGGTTACATCAACTTGATGAGTCTAACAAATATGACTAAATAAGACCAAAGGTGCTAGTGGCATTGATTTGACCTAAAATGTGTTTAACCTTTTCATTTATGCATTAAAATATCTAGATCTATGATAAAAAAAAAATTTAAAAAGCAAAAAATTTTTTTACTGTTATATTGTTATTGGGATTTTTCAGAGACATTTCAGTGTTTCCTACCTAACAGTAACAAGGGGTGTACTGGTAAGAAATCCAGGCAGTCCTGGCATGTATCATTGCTATACACTGGGCATGTAAAAGAACCAAGGGGTCTTTTCAATAAGAACTAGGGACTGGTTCCCGGATTCCCTTGTATCTCATAGCTTTCTCTGAAGTGACTAGTCTAGAGTCATATCTATGTCCTCGCGAGGCATTTGACATTAATGGAAGATAGATAGATAGTTATAGACAAGGTATGCAACACCCAAGTACGAAAATTATGGGTATGTCCGTTCCCGGTGTCAAAATTTTCCACCGGGTGGTTAGTCCAAATATTTAGACGTAACCGCGGATTTGAAGCTATTTTTTACATGGGTCAAATCCACTTTAACGTCTAAAGATATCTATTTAAAAGTCCATAGCAAAATGAAAAACAATAAACATGCACAATCATTTAAACTCCCTATGTAAAATGTTACAAATAATGATTGGCAGGATTGTCATAAAGACTTGTTGAAGAAGGTTAGTTATGGCTTTGAGGCGGTCATTTTTGATTTCATTATATATGACAAAGAGTGTTTTGTTGGTTTTAAGGCAACCCAAAATACATTTGGGACAGTCAGTTTGGCCTCCAGCTGCCTCTAAATGACAACACTGGATTGGTATTCATAATCCTACCAAAATTATATATTTTCCTTCTTAAAACCAACTTAAAGATTCAAATTTTAAACAATTTTAAACAAATCCCGTGTAAAAATCGTGTAATCAGCCTCCATATTGGTGTCTACTACGCAATGCGGTGATTACTGGAACCAAATTTTTTAGACAAAATTTTTACTGCGTGCACCTGTCAGCGTCTTAAAACACTACAGTATTTGTAAAGTTCTTGCCCTTTACTTAGTAAAAGTTTCTAGTTTTCAACTTGTGGCATGTGTAGCACAAAAGATATTTGACCTAGAGTCATAAGAGTGACAAAACAGTGGAGTGTGGGGGCACCCGTGTCCTATGGACACATTTCTAGTTTTCTTTTATAATGCCCCACTTTGTAGGCACGTTTTTTATGGTTAAAATGTTACAGTTTGTGTTTGATAAGGTAACATTTACATGTATGAAGAGTCCAAAATCAGTTGGGTAAAATTCCATTCTTTATATGGTTTTAAAAAAAAATTATATCAAAAGTTACATTTTATTTTCTCCGGTAATATGAAGGATCCCAGTATGCTTCACTACACTTGGAGTAAAATTGTAATATTAAATACACAATGTACACTTCAAATATATGACATTGCATGATGTCATGCATGTCATATCTTAACTAATGTCATATATCTTGAAATGGATGAACTTTATAAATATATAAGAGCTATTTTGCTTGATACTGTACATTTTAGGGACTTTAGTAGTATTTGAAAGATAACAAATTCATTTTCAGCCTCTCCTTATTTTAAAGTAATTGTTTTATTTAAGGTATACTGGGAGGGCAAGAAGATACACAGTCAAATTGGCAGGCATTACCAGGTGTAGAAACTCCGGAAACAAATGTGATGCAACCAGTAAATGTTCCTGCTCAAGGTAAATTTAAATGTCAAACAAGTATAATTGGCATTATTGGGGATCATGTTACTTGTAGAAAAAAGGTGTTAAAAGCACAAAATCAAATATTGCTTTCAGTCCTTTCACACTTTGGACTATAACATGGCTGTTATTTTCCAAAGTGTAAAAAGTCTAAAGTAGATTTTCCGTTGCCCAAAAAGCCATATTTTCCTCTTAAAATGTTGTATTTCCAAGGGGTTTATTTGTTTCCTTGAACTAAGCAACTAACTTAGACCAGCTTGTTGATAAATTATATAGTAGACTGAAAGACATAGAAAGCTGACACTTTACTTCAACTATAGATAGAGGAGAGCCTGTAGTTATTCTGTATTCTGCTGTTTATATATAATGTATCTTGAATGTAAAATTATTATTTAGTTGTAGAAAATAATTTTATTTCATTTGATAACATGTGTGGCTACTTAGTATTTATATATGAATTTAGATTTTTTCTTTATTTCCCTTCAGAAAAAAAAACATAGTTTTGTTTTGAAAATTCAAAAAAGAAAAATCATTGCATGTCGAGGTTGATATTTTAATTTATTGTTCAATACATCCAGTGGATATTTTAATTTATTGTTCAACACATCCATGGAATTGGGAAAATGTGTTGTAAACAGCCTATATTTGTAATTACAGAATAATGTTTGATGCACCTTCTTGTGTGTTGAAAAAAAATTGTAGATACATATACAAATTTTCTTCAATGTTTATAACAGTCTAGTTGTTTTCTTTCTTAACCGACATCTCAAATTACTTTGGGACATAAACAGAAATGGTGTTTCTAGGACAGGGTCCCCCACAAAAAAAGTTAGTTCAGAATAAGCCTCATATTTTTTTAATGCTAAACAAAGTGATATTGCTGTGGTATAATGCCAAATGTTGATCAAATCTGAAGGAAAGTTGTCACGTAACTTGTATACAGTATGAAATGTCTCCCCAGATGTTACCACTACAGTGTAGGTAAATAATACAAGGAATATGAAATCATGTGCATGAGGAATTGCCATTTTCTTTATTGACTATTGGGTGTAAATACAAATGTAGATAAAAAACAACAACACATGTTCATTAAGATGTTTTTATGCATCTGAAGGGGCAAAAATTTTGTTCATGTATATCTTTATGCTTCCTAATAGACAGGACAACCAAAATCTGTTAATTTTTCTGTTATTTGTAGTGTTTGTTAGTTGAGAGTTAATATATTAATATATGCCTTTTTATACCAAGAGGTTAAGGGATTTTTAAAAAAAAATGTGCCTTGCCTAATTTTGAAGTTATTGCCTTTTGTACATTTTTAGCTCGACTATTCGAAGAATATGAGAGCTATTGTAGTCGCCCCGACCTCGGCGTCAGCGTCGGCGTCTGCGTTGGTTAAAGTTTTTTGTAAAGTCAAATATCTCAATTATTACTTGAGATATTCAATTGAAACTTACAATACTTATTTATAGTAACAAGGTACATCAGATTGACAAGTTGGATAACTCTGCCTAAAATATTGACAGAATTATGCCCCTTTTTAACTTAGAAATTTTGGTTAAAGTTTTTTGTAAAGTCAAATATCTCAATTATTACTTGAGATATTCAATTGAAACTTACAATACTTATTTATAGTAACAAGGTACATCAGATTGACAAGTTAAATAACTCTGCCTACAATATTGACAGAATTATGCCCCTTTTTAACTTAGAAATTTTGGTTAAAGTTTTTTGTAAAGTCAAATATCTTAATTATTACTTGAGATATTCAATTGAAACTTACAATACTTATTTATAGTAACAAGGTACATCAGATTGACAAGTTGGATAACTCTGCCTACAATATTGACAGAATTATGCCCCTTTTTAACTTAGAAATTTTGGTTTAAGTTTTTTGTAAAGTCAAATATCTCAATTATTGCTTGAGATATTCAATTGAAACTTACAATACTTATTTATAGTAACAAGGTACATCAGATTGACAAGTTGGATAACTCTGCCTACAATATTGACAGAATTATGCCCCTTTGGAACTTAGAAATTTTGGTTAAAGTTTTTTTTGTAAAGTCAAATATCTCAATTATTGCTTGAGATATTCAATTGAAATTTAAAATACTTTTTTATAGTAACAATGTACATCAGTTTGCAAAATTGCATAACTCTGCCTGCAATATTTGCAGAATTATTTGCCCCTTTGAAACTTAGAAATTTTGGTTAAAGGTTAAAGGTCTTCAAAGATATTTACTTGAAACTTTACACATGCACTTAGGGTCATAATTGGAGGGTCATAATTGTATGTCACTGACCAAGTTCCATAACTCTATCTTGCATTAAGGCTGATTCATATCCCCTTTTCTACTTAGTCTTTTGGTTAATGTTTACATGCAAGTTTTACATATCTCAATAACTATTAAAGATATTTATTTAAAACTTCACATATGCATTTAGGGTCATAATTGTAGGTCACTGACAAAGATCCATAATTCTATCTTGCATTTAAGCTGATTTTTCTCCCCTTTTTCAACTTAGAAATTCATGGTAAAGTTTTGCTTGGAAGCTGTTATCTCAATAACTACTGAAGGATTTGTGCCTTTTTTGGGACAATTTTATGCATTATAATAATAAAGCAGTGATTTACTTGATAAAACATCTTAATAACAAGCCTTTGTACCTTTTCTGTCAAAGTTTTGTATTCATAGGTAATTAGTATTATTATACTCAATAAAACACCCTTGTGACATTACCTTCCGAATAGTCAAGCCAATACTGTATAATTAGACTCTCTCTAAGGCCTATAACATGAATTTATAAAAAAAATTAGCCCTTTTGTGAACTTAAAAAATTTAAAAATTATCAAGGCTCTTTTACTATCAAGCACTAAGAATAGTCGAGCGTGCTGTCCTACCGACAGCTCTTGCTATACTTTGAACTTTGTCCGGTACATAATTCTAAAACTATAAGAGATATCAACATGAAACTTTGTAGGTAGATAGATCTCATTTGGTAGAAGTGCATTGCAAAAGAACTATAACTCTGCCTTGGCCAATTTTGGAGTAATTGCCCTTTGTCCATTTTTTCACTTTGAACATTGTCCTGGACATAGTTCTGAAAGTATAATAGATATGAACAAGACACTTTGTAGGTAGATAGATCTCATTAGCAAGATGTGCAGTGCACAAAAATACCGTAACTCCTTGCCTAATTTTGGAGTAATTGCCCTTGGTTTATATTTACATTTTGAACTTTGTCCGGGACATAACTCTGACAATAAGAGATTCGAACAAGAAACTTTGTTGGTAGATAGGTATCATTGGGTAGATGAGCAGTGAAAAGAACAGTAACTCTGTCTTGCCTAAGTTTGAAATTATTGCTTTTTGAACTTTTTCCTAGATATAACTCTGAAACTGAAAGAGGTATACTTTTCTGTGTCCAAAACCTATTCAGGTAGCATCACCCGGTTCAACTGGTGCTTGTTAATGATTAATCCATCTTATCCCTTCTATCTTAACTACTGTATTTTGTTGGGATCTTCAAACCACTTGTCACTCACTGCCAGAGATGTCAGATTCTACTACTAGCTTGTGAGGAAGCTATCAGGCTAGCTTATTGAAGGTCAGTGGTTTTACTCAGGTTCCTGCTCATGTTATGGAGGGGCACCTGAGGTCTTCCTCTAAACTACAGCTGGAGAGTCACCATATGGCCCTTACAAAGTATTGGTTTGACTAAAAATAAAACAAACAATTTTGTTAAATAGCAACAAACATTTAAAAAAAAATGATTTGATAAAAATATTTGTTGTAAATTTGTTCCAAATAAAAACATAACATGACAGTCCCTAGTCAGTTTATTTTGGTAAAATGGTAAATAAGTAGATGTTTGATCTGTAAACTTCTCCCTTTAAATTGACTTTTGTAAAACAAACATGTATTCCTTACTTTTTTCTCGTGTTTTCATTGAAAAAGTGCTCTTCTGTTTTATCTTTTTTGGTAAAGTTAAAGTTGAATGCCTGTCAAATGGCTCAGTACAATTGCCAATTATTCATTCATACATTTTGTATGTATATCACAACATGTGTCATTCAAAAAGAGGCTTATTATTAAAATATTATTCTCATTGAATATTTTATCTCATTGGTACAGGTGTGGTAAAATGGTTAGGACAACATGAAGTTGCATTCTCAGTTGTTATGTTATAGCAGTTTATAATTGAAGAAGAAAAACTTACCTATTCTTAGATAAAAAATTTAAGTTTTCTATTTCAGGTGCAGGTGTTCAAAATGAGTACCCTAGTAATGTTGAAAGAAGACCTATAATAGATAATGATGGGTTGGACCCAAGTATTCCAAAGTCTGATCCGGATCCTCAGAATCTCAACACACAACAAACTATAAATACTAACATCCAAAATCAACCTGCTTCATTTGGTAATGAAGTACAGCCAGAAAATGTTGTTCAGGCAGTAGATAACCCAGTTCAAACAGATAACAGTGACAGGGAATCAAGTCAGAATTTTGCAAATGGCATTGGCACAAATACAAATGAAATTCTTTCGACTGAAAAGCAAAACCAGGGCAATGGTCTTCCTCCAGTATCAGAGGCAGGTTTAGAACAAAGTGCTCTACCACTTGTCAATAACTATGCACCTCAACAAGATGGGATTCCTGTAAATGGTGCTGCAAGTCTTACAAACTCTGAAAACTTGGGAAATGTGAATACAGATTCATCACAAACTAGTACTGGAAACACTCAAGGTTTTATAAATGAGGTCAAACCTGTTGTTAATGAAGTTCCAGTAAATGAAAATGTTGGTCAATCACAGAACAATTATGCCCCTTTTCAGAATCCAATATCAGCGAATGAAGGTCCTTCACAAGGCAATATTGAACAAAAGCAAGACTCATTGTCTTCAAATGAGGCCAAACCTTTTGTGAATGAAGCTCCAGGAAATGAAAATATTGTCCAATCACAGAACAACAATTATGAACCTGTTCAGAATCCAATAGATGCAAATGTAGGCCCATTCCAAAGCCAAGTACAAGGGTCTGTAAATGTCGAACAGAAGCCAATTGTTAATGATGTTCCAGGGGTAGGTAATGAAGCAATGGAGAATAATGTTGAAAATTTAGGCAGTAACTTGCCTGCAACTGAAAATAAAATCTTTTCAAATGGAGGTGTGCCTCAAATTGAAGACATACATGCAATGCAAGGTGAGCAGAAAGGTGAGCAGACAGACATTGAGAATAACCTAGAACACCAAATAACACAAGGGAACACACAAGGGCAAGCTTCAGAAGAGACTGGAACAGACAGTGGTGATGGCTTTTACGAAGATACCACATCATCATCAGATGATGATTATGATTATGAGGATGATGATGATTATAATTACGATGATGATGATGATGACATGGATGATGATAACAGTGATATTTTTAATACAAAATGGTGGGATAATGATGATAAGGATGATTGGTTTGATGATGACGAGTATAATGATGACAAATTGAATGATGATGATGAAGATGATGATGAAGATGATGAGTCTTGGGACTATTGGGAAAATGAGGGAAAAACACCGGGTGTTACAGCAACAACAACAACAAAAAAATGGAAAGATACTTCCACTGCAGGTAAAAACACTTGATTTGCATATTTCATAAGCATTTTTGTAATGCCTTCATATTTTTTGTTATGATTTATGTTGCTGGTTGAAGTAGAAATAACCATCGGTTTTATTTTTGACCATATACAAATTGTATCATTTGATTTTGGCCAGCATGAAATAGGTCATTGAATGCTTTTGATATCATTTTACATGTATCTGTTTAAAGCATGTCTCAGCTCTAGTTTCTGTAAGTGAAAAATTAAAAAATACACCGTATATTTAGGTTTCACATTGTATATTTTAAAGACTAAATGGCATTGGGGAGTGTGCTTTAAGGTAAGTTGGACAATATTGATATCTGAAAGTTACATAACCCAATATTCAGTGTATGTGTTTATGTAAATCCCATGTTTAAGTGCACATACAATATGTATTCATGGCAGATTTTCATGAATTAAAAACCCATCTTTTCTTCCTTTGCAAAACTTGGGGACCATATGCCGCTTTTCATGGAATGACACTACTGTGTCACATTGAAGGTTCCATGAAAACCGCCGTATGAACACATCTGCGGATGTTTTTAAATTCAAAATTTCACCATTTTAGTGTTAAAATGTTGAATTCTGCTTAAGCCGGTGCTAGGGGGCGTGGATGGTAACTTGCACTTTCCAGTACCGTCCATGAACAGGCTCAATCAAATCGAGCCTGCAACATTTTCAATTTTGTTGTGTTGGGCTTTCTTTAGGGATTCTGTATTTCTCTATTTTTTGTATAGAATTGGCATGCTTAGAAGAAAACATTCAGATGTTTCATGTCACATGACAATGTTATTGACATAAACCATGATGATAATAAATACAACTGTTATTTTTGAGAAGTATTGAAAAGCAGTTATTTCAATTAAAGGCCCATCATGCCTCAGAAATGCTTTTATTTTTATTTCATAAAATCTTCTATTTTTGTTTTCCAGTTATAATTTCCAAAAAGATACATGTTGGCCAGACTAAATATTACACCTGAACCATCTTTTGCTTCTGTTGCTATTTGTCAATTAGTACAGATATAGTGATATAGCATTTTGAAAGGAAGCCATCTCTCTTTCATAAGCATGCAACATGCACTAAAACCATTATTGAAAGGTTATGAAATTAATGTTTGCCCTTGAATGTATGTGTTCAAACCCCTCCAAGGGCAGGCAGTTCCGTTTTCTTGCCAAGAAGCTTAACTTCATTGCTCAGTGCCGGTTGGTTCCAGGAAAAGATTTGAGAGTGTTGTCTTTATGCTTATGCAAATGTAGCTTCTTACACAGACTAAAAAAATATGTATAAACTAAATCGTGCTTGTGGCCCCTTTGGTTTACAGCAGTTTGATTATATTTCTACTTTATTTGCTACATTATTGACAAAATTACATTTTAATTTGCTTTTATTTCAAAATGTCATACCCTATTTTAAGGTGTTGCACTCATGAAAACTTAAACACATTAACGCAGCCCTTGCCATACTCATTGTATTCAGAAAGAAGTAAGCCAGCTTAAGACATCACATCTTTTTCAAGGTCATGGTGTGTTGAAATACTCTGAACTTCAGGAGTAAATTATAAATATTGTTTTAACCTGAATTGACTTCATGTAGAATTCTTAAATTTGTTCTTATCAGTTCACCAGAATAAAAAAATATAAATATTTCTTTTTATTTCTCATAGAAGAAACCACTGAGGACAGTGTTGATGCTGGGAAAGGTTTGATGGAGAGTGTTCATCATTTTGACAGCAACTTTGGACCTTTTGCTGGTGCTAAAGGTAAATAATTTTCATTTTATGAGTGTTTCTTATTGAGATAGAGTATTTTTGTAATTTTGAAGAGCTGTGGCTTTAGTGGTTAAGATTTCTGCTTCTCACCCCAGGGATTGTGGGTTTGAGCCTTACAGTTCTTAGGTCAGGGCTATGATATGACATATTTCACCAGAACTGATTAGTTCCAGGAAGAGAGGAATAGATGTTAACTGGAACTCAGCAAATGTGGGTTTTTCCAAGCTAATCCACCAGTGCGAAGAAACTTTTACCATTATAGCTTCATAATACAAAAGAGAAGTCAACCTGTGGCCCTTATATATTTGGAGCTGTATCTGTAAAAGCTTGTTTGTACCCCCAGATTAGCTAGGAAAAACCTAAAACATTCTTATTCCGACAGTTTTGCTAAATTGGTTGATTTTTTGCACTATTGTGTGTTATAATATTGGAATACGAAATTCAATCCATTTATATTAGTTCAACCTTAATCCTCCTTTATTTATGTTGTGTGTATCATTTGCTTAGTCATCCTTTGCATTCAAATACTGGTTTATACTGGATACTGCCTGTAAAATCAGATATTATAGTGAGGGATTAAAGTTTACTAGTTTCTAATTTGAAAGGTTTTTTTGTTGTTTTTTTTTTTGCAAAAATAAATTTAGAATTAAGATAAGTACACATAACTAGGTATTTTGTCAATTTAACAATATTGAAAGGAAAAGTTTTAGAAATAATTAACCACACAGAATGTTGGCCTCAAGAAATTATTCAATTTTACGGTAATCTACATTAATTGAATTTAATGAAATAAGCAAAATACTGATGGTAACTTAATCAGTGCCACATCTGTTGTTATCTGAGTTAAAGTTTAATGGCATTTTGCTGTCATCTTGAGCTGTGCAGTCATTAATTTACTGTTTTCCCTCATCAAAGCTCCGCCCATATTTGAATAATTGATAAATAACACTTTGATATTGGTTATTTCTTAAATTTAGAACATGTTAAACCCTTTACCTGTTGGAACTGATTGTGATTAGTCTTTGCTACCAGTATATAGAGACGGCTCAGTCTACTCAGCCATGCAGTCTGACCAGGCTCTATGTTATTCATAATTGATAGCTTGATATTTTATGTTCAGATATTGTACTCCCTTGAAAATTGGAATGGACTATTCCAATCTAAATGCAGGACAATTCCATTACACAAAGTGAGAAGATAATGGGTAAAATGATCAATTTTAGATGACTAAAATTCTCCTGATGTAATGAGTCATCAGTATTGATATGTAAATTGATTTTTAATTTTGTCATAGAATAACTGGAGGAAGTAAACATAGTTTAACTTACATGTATATTGTTGTGATGAAATGTTATACAGTAAATTGAAATGTAAAACGTCCATTTACTTATTGAAACGGAACAGTTCATTTGAAAGCAAATGTATGAGGAAATACAATATAGGTTTTAAATGCTACCTTTTGATTCAGATACAAGTCATTAAATATGAAAATATCATTGTGTCGCCTCTACGGAGTAGTGGCGACATATAGGGATCACTTCTCCGTCTGTCTGTCCGTCTGTCTGTCTGTCCGTCACAAAACTTGTCCGGACTACTCCTCATAAACTACTGGTGCAATTTCATCCAAACTTTACAGGAATGATCAGTACCAAGTGTAGTTGTGCATATTGTCAGCATTTTCCGGTTCAATGATTTTTGTCAGAGTTATGGCCCTTTAATAATTTTTATTTTTAAAGTTTGTCCGGACTACTTCTCTTATACCACTAATGCAATTTCAATGAAACTTTACAGGATTGATCTGTAGCTCAAGTCCTTGCGCATATTTCACGGGTTTTCCGGTTGAAATGATTTTTGGCCGAGTTATTGCCCTTTGATAAAAAGGGTTTTTTTTCTGTGTGTTGCCAGATACACAAAAGCTTGTCCGGACTACTCCTTAAAAACTACTGGTGCAATTTCATCCAAACTTTACAGGAATGATCAGTACCAAGTCTAGTTGTGCATATTGTCAGTATTTTCCGGTTCAATGATTTTTGTCAGAGTAATGGCCCTTTAATAATTTTTATTTTTAAAAGTTTGTCCGGACTACTTCTCTTATACCACTAATGCAATTTCAATGAAACTTTACAGGATTGATGTGTAGCTCAAGTCCTTGCGCATATTGCACGGGTTTTCCGGTTGAATGATTTTTGGCCGAGTTATGGCCCTTTGATAAAAAGGTGTTTTTTTCTGTGTGTTGCCAGATACACAAAAGCTTGTCCGGACTGCTCCTCATAAACTACTGGTGCAATTTTATCCAAACTTTACAGGAATGATCAGTATCAAGTCTAGTTGTGTACTGTCCGTCTGTCACAAAACTTGTCCCAACATAAAATTGGCCATGATGAGGCGACACATGTGATTACTGATCGCTCTTGTTTTAATAATTATGAATAGTATAAATTTTTCAGAGCATGTTGTTAGATCATTTTTGGTACTTGCCCTGTGGCTGTTTTGTAACCTTTTTTAGTCCCTACCGGTTTACCGGAGGGGACTTTAGGTTTACCCTCCGTCCGTCTGTCCGTCCGTCCGTTCACAAAACTGGATCCCGCGATAACGCAAAAAGTACTTAAAATATTTTCATGAAACGTGGTATATGGATAGATGGCAGTATGGAGATTATGCACGTCTTTTTCTTTTCTTCCTATGTTGAAAATTCTGGTTGCTATGGCAACAAATAGACTGAAAATATGGCAAATTTTACACATAACCTGGATCCCGCGATAACGCAAAAAGTACTGAAAATATTTTTATGAAACTTGATATATGGATAGATGGCAGTATGGAGATTATGCACGTCTTTTTCTTTTCTTCCTATGTTGGAAATTCTGGTTGCTATGGCAACAAATAGACTGAAAATATGGCAAATTTTACACATAACCTGGATCCAGTGATAACACAGAAAGTACTGAAAATATTTTTTTGAAATTTGACATATGGGTAGATGGCAGTATGGAAATTATGCACATCCTTTTCTTATCTTCCTATGTTGAAAATTCTGGTTGCTATGGCAACAAATAGACTGAATTTCAAGATTTCTGATTCTAGTTTTTAAGTTTTTTCACTATAAGTTCTTTATTTCTTAAGGTATTTTCTTCAAACTTTAAATATAAGTTGCTTGTCATCAACCACATCATATGTGACAAGGTTTACAACTCTAGCACAAAATTTATCAGAATTACCTCCATTAAACTTAAAATTTTCATGAAAAAAAACATTGTTTTTTTTTAATAACTTCTTTTTTTGAATGTATCTACTTCAAACTTCATATAAATGTTTCTTATTATCACTCAACATTTGTGAGTGTTCAATACTCTAGCAAGACTATTTCCAGAATTATACCCCTTTTGAACTTGGACTTTTTTTGAGAAATTGGTAATTTTTACTCCAACTTCTTCAATCATGATAGGATTTTAAAAATGTTATATTTTGATAACAGGGATGTTTAGAAAATAACTTTAGAGTGTCCTTCAGTCCGTCTGTCTGTACATAAAAACTTTCCTGTGATCACTTTTAAAGAACTTTTTCAACAAATTTACTTAAAATAGGAACATAAGTGAATGGCCAATGGCCCTTCAGAATGTTGCTTGGGCTCTTACCGGTAGTGGACTTATGGATTGCTTGCAATACTATGATAATTGCTTGTTTTATCTGATTTCTTATATTTGGAATATAAAATGTTCATGGGACCTCCTTAGCCATGTGGTTAAGGCTGTTGACATAAAGTCATAAGAACTTTACCACTAAGGCCCATTATGCCCCAGAAATGCTTTTATATTAACCCTTTACCACATATATACGCGAAACAACGCACTTTCGACCCCCCCCCCCTTTTTTTTGGCCTCAAATAGTGAAAAAATGTCCTATTTGGGCCCCAAACCCATGTTTTCTTTTGAGAAATGTTGCTAAAAAAAATGAGCACTTTTTCGGCGCCGCCCCCCATCCAAAAGATACATCAGGGGGTTGCCAGAAGGGGGATGTTCCCCCTTCTGTTAGGGGGGTTTGAAGGGGGGCGGAGTCCCCCTCATCGCCAAGAAAATTTTGGACTTGTGAGAGGCTAAAAATGACCCCAGGTCGATCATAATGTAACGTGTAACCAACGCTGAAAAGCCTTTGACTCTATCTCAATCCCTTAAGAAGTTGCAGCACTTTGAAATAAATTTTGATGGAAAAAATCGAGGCCAAAATAGTGATTTTGGCAATTTTGAGATGTCCCCTCGTTGCCATGGTAACAGGAAATTTAAGACTGAGCATGTCGTTACAAAGGCAGTGGTCCAGTCAACATTTGTGCCAAGTTTGATTAGTATTGAAGCATTTTTCATAGTTTCATAGCAGTTTGAACTTGTAACAGGAGGCTTTTCAGTGAAAACGGCCATTTTTCACAATATGCTCATGGGGGAAGGGTTAATTGCTCAAACAATTTTTGGTGTCCTGTCACGGTTTAAAAAATTACTCATTGTAACCATCTTTTGCTTCAGTCGGTTGGTTTTGGCAATTATATAGTGATTAAGTATTTTGTATGGAAGTCAAAATACTACATCTACTTTGTTAACATTTTACTCCTTTTGTAACAAAAAACTTCTGTTTTTGGGGCATAATGTGCCTTTAATTACAACTGAAAAAATTCAGTTTAGAGTATGTTTCTTGGAACTAACCAGTACTGGTGTCATATGTATGTAATGGTCATAACTTAAATGGGGCTCAAACCCAGGATTCCTTCCACCTTTACTATTGATGGGAGACCCCAGGTAGGTCAGGCACTAGCAGACATCCCATTAGAACCATCAATGGTTCATAGGCTAGGTTAATATCTTTCTCAGACACTTTTGATAAAATTCCTCAATTATTTTCCTGTGTGAGCTTAATGTCCCATGTATTCAGAACTGAGCATAGGTGAGTTTTCTGTTCTTCCATCATTTTCTTTATGTATTGATATATTAATGAATTGATAATTATGTACATGTACCTAACATATAATATTTATAGAGTATAAGATATTTATTGTTATGTGTATTCTTTTTCAGTTTCCAACAAAAGTCGTAACTTAGGTGGGGATGGATTTGCGTACAGCTGGACGTTACTTGTTTCTTTGTGTCTGGTTTTGATTTGTCTTTTCATCTTCTGGAATAGACAGAAGGTAATATGTTATTAAGAGACTTTTTTCTTATCTCTCATATCTTAAAACAAAAATTCCAAGGGGTATTTCAATTTTTTTTTTCAATAATTTTACTGTAGACCTTTTTAGATATTGAAGAAAGATATCTCAGTTTTAAATGTCTTGATTGATCCAGGCCTATCAAAATCTTTTTTAGACCAAGAAAATTTGCAGATCAAGATATTCTTACAATAACCCTTGTTTATCACACAACTGCTCAAGTTTATCACATGGTTTCCCTAGTTTATCACATGACGCATGTCATTATAATATATGTATGACCTAAATGTGTAATTGAATATCATAACAGCCACATATTTAGCCTGTATTTACCGGTTAGGTAATAGAAATTAACAGCATTCAAATTTGTTGTGATGGTCATATGACTTTTACAATTATTATGGCCAGTTGACAGTTATAGTTAATCTTGTAAGGGTCTTGCTTGTTTTTGTTTACTTACCAGTGTGAATATTGCTAGACATCTGTCACCATCAAATCAATAAGGAAGCACTGCTGTGAAATTCTTCTATTAGAATAAGCTTGACAACTAACAAATAGAGAGGAAGATTGGTAGTTCTAACCCGTGTGCTTTAGTGCTTGCTCATGTCTGAAATAATGCACACTTATGGTCTTCCTCCACAAATTTTTTTTTTTAACCCCATTGGAAAAAATAAATAAATGAATATAGGTTAGAACTTCAAACAGGCACACATAATGCACCAGTCAGTTGTAAACCTCTGCTGTGGACTTTTAGATGATTTGTTACCTTAGTGCAGAACTGGGGAACTCTTATTAATTTCCATAGGAAATACTGTACTACCATGACATATTAAGCCATTTGTCAAGGCCCAGCACTTCAGGACATTCAGATAGTAAATCTCGGCAAAATGCCTCTGCATTGTGGGTAGGACATGTCCCTTATATGTTGGCTCAAACTAAACCACCACATTGACCTGGCAGTGCAGGTAAAAACCTGGCTTATTTCCCCCTGTATCTCCCACACTCCTTGGTGAGGCAGGGCCAGAATAACAATTAACAGGTGTATAAGCAAAATGATTTCCGAGCTACACCATTTTACAGTCAAATCGGCCCCAAGTCAGATCGGCCCCAAGTCAGATCGGCCACAAAATAGTCAAATCGGCCCCAAGTGAAATCGGCCTCAAGTCAGATCGGCCCCATTTTTTTTTTCTTAATTCATTATTCATTTTCTTATTTTTTAAATGTTGATAAAAAACAATCGTGTGGATGGGAATACCAAATGACAAACAATGGATTACATAGAAAACAAGAACAAAACATATAATAATCAATCGAATTTATTATACTCATTTGAAGTCATTTTTATCAAGAGTTTAATATATATGTTTTTTTTATAATTATACTAAGACTTTTTTCAATTTTGTTAATTATGATTTTATACACAGAGATGGAATCAATGTAAGTAGAATTACTCATTTTTTAATTAAATGTGATAACTTCAGCTTTAAAGACACCACAGTCTAAAACGCGGATGTCTTAAGTTGTTGGTGATATAATTTCTTTTATAGTTCTTTTATAGTTTTTTTAATTTAAAGAAATTAAATTTAGATTGATTAAATATATAATTTATCCAGATGTGTCGGACACGTGTAACTAATAAACAGCTAATATAAAGTGTGAACAACATGCTACCTTATTAAACGTCTCACTCTTTAATTGGATGGATATCTCTAAAAATAAGTATTTTTCGGACTTTATTTATACTTTATTTCTGGCTGGGGCATAATACCCATCATCTCAACATACATATACATGTATATTTATTATAATGCATGCACCAAGAAATCATGATATAATAAAGTCAAGCAGTTATATTCACATTATCGTTAATTGCATCAATCATTCGTTAATCCAGTAGCATTGCATCTCTATTTATTATTATCAATAAACTATAACTTAAATTAAAAACTACTCTATTAAAAAAATGCATTTAGAAAATTAGTAAAATACATTTTTGACTGTTGCTAAAAAAATCAACATTTTTATACATAACTGATTAAATTCACTTCACGCAAAATTGTTTGTTAAAAAAGCCGAATTCAATGCATGATTATTTGAGACAATGACTGAATTAATTAAAGACACGTGATAATTGTTTGTTTTTCACATAATTATTTATCTTCAAAACGTAGACCGACCTTTATATGTTCAGATATTTAATTGTAATTAAATGTAGAAATCAATCAACAACCATAGCACACCTGCATAATTATATTAATAACAATTATCACAAGCATCAAACTGTCTCAATTTTGTAATGAATTATTTTTAATTGGTACATTTATGTTAAAGTGCAATTCTCAGTTAATAACCTTGTAATTTTTGGCGAATGACATTATTTTAACCAAAATAGGATTTTTCATAAAACTAACTTTAGGGCCGATTTGACTAGTTCTGAGGTCGATATGACTAGTTTTGGGGCCGATTTCACTAGTTTTGGGGCCGATTTGACTTTTTAATATTGTTGTGTGGCCGATTTGACTAATTTTGGACCGAATTGACTAATTTTGGGGCCGATCTGACTTGGGGCCGATCTGACTTCGGGCCGAATTTACTAGTTTGCTTTAGATTAAATTAAACAAATTTTACTTTGTATTTTAACATCTGTTTTAGGTTGAGAAATACATTGTGAGTCTTCGGCAACCATCTCCCAGCAAGCAGAACAAAGGAATGCTGAGTAAAGATGAAGAGAAAAACCTTCTTGATAACGAATACACATAGTTCGTTGTTTTACTTTTCATGTCACAAAATGTCCGAACTCATCGATAATCATAATGTATTTTGATGCAATGTATTTATAGTTAAAATTGTTAAATATTTACCATTTTCACAGTATTTACGCTAGTTATTTTCACAAACATTGTACCTTAATTGAGGGATTTAAAATGGTTGTTTTTATCAAATTTATTATTTATAAGTAGTTATTCCATTGTGGTTTATTTTGAAATGAATTAGCACTAACATTATTCAAAAATTTTAAGACATTTTGAAATGATTTCCCTAAAAATAGAAGGAAAGGTTTAAGCAAAGGAGAAATGTTATGTGTAGCGTTTTGTGATCTAAGAATTTTCAAGTGAAGATGTTGGTCTGGTTAAAAAATAATGAAATTTTACCCATATTTTACCATGAATTGCCTTATTTAATAATCTGTCAATGAAAAATATCTGCATATATTTCTTGTTATTGTATCTGTTTCTCCAGTTTGATTGAATACTATTGTATCACATTGGAAATGAAAAAAAAGGCAGAAATTCATTTTACATATTGCAGGGTAATTTTCACTTCTACTTAAGTATGAAATTGTTTATCATACTTTGTATATTTTATGCCGTTTGAGAAATAAAACTGAGATTTTTTTTATGTTAGTGATATACAGTAGATGATATCAAATATATCTCACTGATATGTTAAAAACAACACTGTATTTCACTGATTTGCATAAAGTATTTAATATGAAATTTGAACTATTTTTTTATATTCAGAAGTCCCAAATCCCGTAGTTGGGGGATTGTTCAACTATGCAATGTCTTGATATGTGATATTTTATATTTGGTATGTAAATGTAAATTGATCTGTGATTTTTTTTTCGAATTTTTGTGTCTTCCTGATGCACAAAGGTTTTTAACAGATCGGATTCTGCACATCAATTGCAATGTTATACGTTCTGTGAGTTTTGTTTATGATTTTCCTGTGATTTTTTTGTTGTTTTGTTAGAAATTTTACATCAATTATTGAATACTACATAGGAACATGTTACTTTCAGAATTTGACCATTTAATGGTTGGGAATTACATTTTAATTTTACAGAATTGTGAAAGAAATTTTTTTTTGTCAATTTGATAGATTTTTCTCATTTTGTTTGTATTTTTGCCATTCTTTTGGCCGAATTCAAAGAGAAAATTTGTTTGTTTAACATGTAAGATCAAATTGTATTTTAGAGAAGCTGTTATATTTTCATTTGTGGTTACACTACTCTACAAGATATTGCATCTGGTGCCCATTCAGTCTCATTGAAGTAAATTAGATCTATTACTGAAACAAACAAAAAGCCTCTATAATTGTATGGTTGTTTTGAATGTAAACAATTAACCTTGTTTTACGACATTTCCTTCTTGCCGTCTGCTTTTATTGTTTACAAGTATTACAAATGTTTATGAAGTTGTTCTGTGGAAACATTTCCACGCATGTGAACAAAGTTAATGAGCTGAAATGTTATCATGGTGATAAATATGATTTAAACCCATAACCTGCTTGAACTTAGAGTGACGAGACTTTGGCACCAGTATAGAGCCAGGCCAGCCTGCTCATATATGTCGTCCGACCAGGCTCTATACTGTTTATAGGTCAATTTTTGTACTTTGATATTGAAATCCCTTAAATTTTGAATGAACTGTTCCTAATTCAAAGTTGGGAAAACCCATTACACAAATTAAGCAGGTTGTTTTTGTTGGTGCTGATTTCATTATGTTGTTTTAATGTTGTTTTCAAACACCGAGGGTTTATTAATACATGTAGTACTTTATGTATATGGAATATTTTTGAATCTCATATAGTTTAGAAACGCTACTTAGAATACTCATTTGTTACTAGTTTATATATGATTAGATCTTTATGTATATATTTTTAGCCTTATTCTTTTTATTATTGTAGCATGGGGCTTTAAATTTTTCTTATTCCCAAAGGTTATTATACTATTTTTAGATAACTTTAATATATGTCTCTTCTGTAAGTCTGGTTTATTTTTTTCATACTTAATTTAAATTTTTATTTCATCAAAACAAAAGGATAATTTTTATCAGATTATATCAAAATAAGTGATAAAAATCGATTATTCTGTGTTATTTCTATGGAGAGAAAAAAATTGTTATTTCCTATTCCATGCAAATTATTTATGTCCTATTTCATTTGATTTTGATAGAACTGTATTTTTATATAGAAAAAATATCAAACTTGCATATCTTTATTCTTTATACATTTAAAGTTATCCTGTATTTTGTTTTTTGTTACGTTCTTTCATCCCCAATGATATTTTTGCTGTCTGTTTTGAACGCTTTCAAAAGAGGGTCCCTGTGCACAGTGACAAAATACCACATGTTGTATGACATTATTTTTATGGTCGAATTACAATGCAACTCTTAGCTACAGCAGGTTAGGTGGTCTTGACCCATGGTATTGCTTTGAAGTTTGTAACACCTGAGGTTAGCCAAAAACATTTTCCTGTTTCAGCACCATATGACCTGTCCTGTGTTAATGTTCAGTAAAACCAACTAAACAGTAGAGAAGAGGTTTCTGCTGAATATGTGTTACTACAATTAAAATTGTTAAATATTTTTCTTGGTTTTCTCATAAAATCGAAACAAAACTTGTGCATGTTTATAATATAAAGATCTTACACTAGCTACGGGTACAGACTCGAACATCTAGCTTGCGGGTAACTGGTTATGGTTTCCACTAAACAAATACCTAAGGTTTAGATATTCCCATCTGTACAGTAGCTGGTGTTTGATTCTTTTTCTTGCATATTTATCATATTTAAGAAAGAAATTACTTAAACTTACATTTTCATTTACCACTTTTCTTACAGTAGCATATGAATTTACAATTTTAATTATAGGCAAAATGACATCCTAAGAAAAGTGGGAATGACGTCATTTTAAAGCATGCAACTTGCCTTACATAGGTGGTGTAAGACAGATATTTCTAGCACCAGGGTAAACAGTAGATAATCGTGTCTGATATGCTAGAATATAAATGATGTCATTTATCACTTGGTATGGCCACACTGTGTATACAAGAATTCTACCAGATCTAGACTGTGATTATATTTTATACTCTACAAACTGTTACAAAATTTACGCATTTATTTTTTTATGTACCTACTTTCTGTTATATTTTGTAGTGATCTATTTGTTATTTCTTTATATACGATGTATTGTTAACTCTTCTTAAACTGTTTATATGAAAATGAAATCTTTGTGTACAAAGTAGGGAGAAAAAAACATTTTTTATAGATAGTGTATAGATAATTGTAAAAGACACTGAGACAATATTGATAGAATTGCTAAACTTATGATATTTCTAGTGCCTAATGGCAGATATTAATTATCATTTTTGCCATTGAAAATACTTTTGAATTTCTCGCAAACATTTGTTTTTAAAATTTAGCAGTCTTTCCAAAATTCACTTTTGTTTTCTTGTTATTTAACCACTGCACTGATTTCATTTTTTCTTTTTTTTTTCTCCATCACACAAAATAGATAAAGTATTATATTTTTCTAATAAATTGATTACAATGAAATTTTTACCGGTGTTCATTGTTGATTTGTAGTAGCAAAATATCTGATATATAGATGTACATTTGTATTATAAAATAAAAGGTCAGTTGTTTATACTAATCAGAAGTTTGCTCTTGATAATCTTTTTTATAATGCAGTGATGATAAAAAATTTAAGTGCAGACCTTATTATTGTCTTTGTCATTTATATATTTATACATAAAAAGAGGGAAATTTTCAATAAAAAAAGGATTCAATTTATTTCAATTGTTGTTGTTGTTATTCATGTTTTTATCCCCAAATATGAAGGGAATGTTGAAAATGCTGATTTTTCTGTATCCAAATCAAATGATTATTGAGTAATGACCCTTTGTTGATTAAAATTAAGCATTTATCGAAGCCGTATTGAAATAATGGTTGATCTCAATGTATTGAAATTCAGCATGTTTGAAAATGATGCTTATCATATTCTAGTAAAATCCAAATGTTGTCTCTTTCAATGTGCAATATTATCTCAATACTATTGCTAGATTAAATTGGACCCTGACACAAATTTGTACTATTGCTAGCTTAAAATGGACCTTGACATGAATGTGTACTATTTCTAGCTTAAAATGGACCTTGACACCAATGTGTACTGCTGCTAGGTTAAAATGGACCCCCGACACGAATATGTACTGCTAGGTTAAAATGGACCCCCGACACGAATGTGTACTGCTGCTAGGTTAAAATGGACCCCCGAAACGAACGTGTACTGCTGCTAGCTTAAAATGGACCTTGACACCAATGTGTACTGCTGCTAGGTTAAATGGACCCCCGACACGAATGTGTACTGCTGCTAGCTTAAAATGAACCTTGACACGAATGTGTACTGCTGCTAGCTTAAATGGACCCCCAACACGAATGTGTACTGCTGCTAGGTTAAAATGGACCCTCGACACGAATGTGTACTGCTGCTAGGTTAAAATGGACCCTCGACACAAATGTGTACTGCTGCTAGGTTAAATGGACCCCCGACACGAATGTGTACTGCTGCTAGGTTAAATGGACCCAGACATGAATGTGTACTGCTGCTAGGTTAAAATGGACCCTGACAGGAATGTGTACTGCTGCTAGGTTAAAATGGTCCCCAACAAAAATTCCTTCCTTTACTTCCATTTACACATTAAGGTTGTTCATCCCTGGAAGTTAAAGTAAAATCTGCCATCCGGTTTAAGAGGAGTTGCGTTCACAAAATTTTAAGGCATATAGTGAAAAAATCAACAAAGGGCCATAATTCTGTTAAATTTGGTCGCAGCGAAAATTCCTTCCTTTACTACCATCTACACATTAAGGTTGTTCATCCCTGGAAGTTTAAGCAAAATCTGCCACCCGGTTTAAGAGGAGTTGCGTTCACAAATTTCTATATGGTATATAGTGAAAAAATCAACAAAGGGCCATAATTCTGTTAAATTTTGTCGCAGCAAAAATTCTTTCCTTAACTACCATCTACACATTAAGGTTGTTCATCCCTGGAAGTTTAAGCAAAATCTGCCATCCGGTCTAAGAGGAGTTGCGTTCACAAAATTTCTACATAGTATATAATGAAAAAATCAACAAAGGGCCATAATTCTGTTAAATTTGGTTGCAGCGAAAATTCCTTCCTTTACTACCATCTACACATTAAGGTTGTTCATCCCTGGAAGTTTAAGCAAAATCTGCCATCCAGTTTAAGAGGAGTGCGTTCACAAGATTTCGGGACGGACGGACAAGTGCAACGCTATAGACCCTTTCATTTAAGACCGTATTCAAGTTGTCGCCCTTGGATGACGTCATTGGGGGATACGGTGGACAATGCCGATACGATTAAGTACAATTATAGAGGGATATAAAGATCTTACTCCTTTCTCTTTTAAGATTGGCAGATTGAAATTGCCAAAATTTTGTGTAATTGAATAAGATAATTACATAAAAAGGATGGTGAAATGAATAAATATGATTACTATTTGTTTTAATAGTAGACCATATTCCTGGGTAACTGATCATGATTACCATATTCGTTAGATTCTTAATAATGAAAATTTTACCAGGCAGTTAAATCGTATTAACTTGCTAATACCAGAGATATAATGTATCTATGTCTCTGCTAATATACAATACCCAAAATATATTTTGAGTTTCAAAAATGTAAGGATTCTGTAGTTTCGAAAAACGGCTGCGTAATAATTCATTGCAAGATACCGGTTAATTAAAAATCATTTTGATTTAAGCATTACTAAATCAAAGAAAAGAAAACAATATAAATCTATGTAATTTCAAAAAAAAATGTAAAGGCATAAAAAGCAAAAATTCTTTTGAATGTACATGACTGTATACTATTTGTGTCGGCAAAAAATGCACTTTCAAAAAATCGTACATCGCGCCAATATATTTAAGCTGGTAAAGTAATATTTTCAACTTGATACTTTTTAATTCATACTCTGCTTATCAAATATTAAAAAAAATCACAAAAACAACAATAGCAAGTTGTAAAACACGTTCACAGAAATTCGCTATTAACTGAATTATAATTTTATGTATTTTTGACTGTGCCAGTTGGTAAGACTCTGGATCGATTATCAAATCAGTAAGACATGAACAATAAAGTCCCTAGGATGATCCATAACAAAATTCGGACCATAAATATTTTGACAACTAACAAAAGTGACGTAATCTGATGTAATGTTGTAACTCTAAAAAATGCACCCTGGTGATTTATGATATCACAGCCAAGTGCCGCTTGTGTATACAACATATGTACCCTGTTAATTAATATGTTACGGCCCAGTGGCGCATATATATACACATCTATTTATCTATGAAATAAATTACTATTTAAAGAATAGATTTTTAATATCAAAATGATCTTATTATCGTCTGTTGCGAATCTAAAATTATAAAAGTCAATGCCATATGGTTTTCGTTCTTTCCGGAATATTTATACAGTTCTGGGATATAATATATCGTATGTCCCAGTACAGTTATATCCTTCACTGGTTCTTTGAACTATTTTTTATACGGCATAATGAAAAAAGAATCAGTAAGTATTGACATAATGCATTCTGTTATTGTTCTATTACAGCTTGATAAACAATCATTAAAAGACATTGACAATCTTTTTTAAAGGTTTGTCACAAATACGCAGGAATTTTCTAAATGACAGAAAATAACACAGAAAACTAGAAAATGGCCATTTATATTTATAATAGGCAATTTCAGTGTGTATGTGTGTTTATGAAATATTAAAATTTGATTTAGTTACTAGGTTTTTATCCTGGCATTTTAGAAAATCTAGATCTAATAAATTTATTCATTTTGAAATTTCGCTGTTTCACTCCGTAGTGACACGGATTTATAAATCCGTGGTAGCAAGAATTAATCTCAATCTTTGCTTTTGTATTTTTTTCTATTGTCTTGATATTGAATTAATGTATGCATGCGTGAATTTTTACATGTTATAATCATAATTGAACGATCAGTATTTACGTATTTAACTTTTCAATAAGCTAACTTTCTATGCGGCATGCATAGTTTTATCCCCCATTTACGTCATATCCGGTAAGGGAAGTAACTCTGTTATCGCTTAAATGAAAGGGTCTATATGCTCCCCCACTTTGTGGGGGCATAAAAATTTCAACAACAATAAGCAAACTTGTTTAAAAGTTTAATTCTATTTCTTATAAGAGCGTAATAAAATCTACATTTATATAACAACCAAAAACAAAGCACATATTTATATAAATAATATGTAGGAAAGAAAAACAAAACTTAATGTAAAATTCAACAGCATGGATTCAATACAATGTCCAAGATTTTACTATTACATTTTGACAACTTGAGGAAGAAATTTTCCAATTTTGCCTCACTTTAGTCAGTTTGCATTATCACTGAAACAAAAACATTTTCAAAAATCTGTTTAAAGAACATGATTTTTTTGGGGAGATTAAAAATGATTTAACAAAAACGTGTATTTTGTGTGATAATATTTAAATATAAAAACAATTAAAATACCAATGTTTTAATAATTCAAAACTTACTAATTGCCATGATGTAAATTGCATAACTTTTAATCTGACGGCGACTGATTGTGTACATTATGTCTGACTCGTATAATAGGACAGATTTTCACACTTCTGCCAACGTAAATTTCTGAATCTTTCCAGTTTTATGCAAATAAGCCGACTGCCTATCCATTTACTTTACTTGGATATTACATAGTCACTGGATGACCTGATTAAAACAAAAGAACACAAAGTTTTGAGTGTGAAAAGTTGACCTAGCAATGAACAGAACGGGCAGGGGCTAAACTTTTCACTGCTAAAAACCACAAGGTCCATTAATATACAATAATAATTAAGAACTGTTCACAACTGTATATTCTTGGCTCTTAAAGGGACTCCACTGAAGTTTCTTGACATGATGGGGTTACAAATAACTTTTCAAGATTAATATTCCATTTGGTGTAGTTCTTAACCAAAACATTGTATGCAAACTTTTAGATCATTTGATCACTCGATTTTTCTAGAATAATTATTTAAATTGTGAAATATGATCTTAATTGAAAAGCGTTGCAACGCTTTTCACTCAAATTGGACTAAGAATAGCATAACCATACAATTTCAAATTTATTTCTGAGTATATTTCTTTACTATCTTTTGCATTTAGTGCCCAAGGCTCCCAGCTGATCTATGTAAGAAATTGAATTTTTATATTTTTAGGCTTTGGACCTCAGTGGAGTTCCTTTAAAAAGTGTAACTTCTAAAAAAAATCGGAACCTTTCACAATTACATATATAATGTGATATGACAGTAAATTAACAATTTGAGATTCTATAACTTTTGTAAAAAAAATATACATGTATTTATTTCAGGAAACAGTAACAATGTTTCCTTCATGTAAAGGAAATAAATATTCTAAATGCTTGTTTTAAATAAATAGCAAATAAACTACAGATAAGTTTAAATAATCTTTGATAAGATTTCTAAAAAAAATTTATAACTCTTATTTCATACTAACATATTTTGATTTTTCTGTGTTTTAATTCATAATTCAATATAAGTTTGAGCTTTCGTCTGTGCAGTGAATATGCAACAGCAAAACAAATCAAGGCAAAATAAAATTACAAGCCACAAATAATATATTGCACACCGTTGTTTAAACTTACTATATTTGCATTATTTTTTCCATTACTTGCCCCCAACTAATGTGGGTTTGAATCCCGCCAGGGACTTTGGATTCTTTCACAAGAAGAATCTACCCAGCTAGCTTACAGATAAAGAATGTCGATAGTTTTACTCAGGTGCCTCTTTGTGCCCGAAAAAATGCACAAAATGGGCACCCGAGGTCTTCCTCCAACAGTAAGCTGGAAAGTTGCCATATGACAATGATGATGTGATGTAAAACCCAACCAAAAAAACAAACGAGGACTTCTATTTACAACAAGAGAAATGCCCTATTCTTAAATTTACAGTATTTTGTATACAGACCGAAATGGACTGTTGTCTTTATAAGCAAATTGAGTTATTCACAATATCATTATCATTAGTTTTTGTCATTTGTTTGGTTATAAGTCACACCATTGCAGTCATGGTCACATGGCGATTTTCCAGCTTAACTGATACAGAATAACACCCAAGAGACTTTTCTTATGCATTATTTTAGACAAGGGCCAACAACTTGGTAAAACTGTTCCATTTGAATTAAAAAAACAAAAAAACATGGTACATGTAATTGACAATGTAAAAATGTTCTTGCCTAAGACGGAATGAGTGCAGATTTTAATTTAATGCTGAACAAAATGTACAACTAATAAGCATACAACTGCATAAAAATAGCCAAATTTGGTACAAGTTTGGTACAAATCGATTGTAATGTTTCAAAAAAATAAAATACAACATTTTTGCACCAAAACTACAAAAGCTGTCTTCAAAATAACTACATGAAATTTATGCAAAACAAAAGGGACGGACTAAATCAAATACAAGTTAATTTATATATTAATGAAAAAATAATGAAAATAATTTAAATATATGTTTTATATAACGATGATGATCTAAATGGAAATAATAGGCAACTGAAATTTGAAATTTTAAAATCAATTTTAAAATCAATTAAATCTATATATGTGTGTGTAGATAATATCAGTTCAAATAAAAAATATCCCACAATTCTTGCATTTGTGCAAATCTAAAAATCTAAATCTAAAAATTTTCCAAATGGAAGAACAACAGGGAAATATTAAACATTATGTGTCTATTTCCTGTATCTTGTTCATCGGTGGTTTTACCAAGACTACTTGTCAAAATTTGATTTGACCCTGCATTTGTGTGTATTTCAGTCCAGTCACATATCATTCAGCTTTAATGTCCACAGTTTTAACTTTACACCAGTAAAAAATGCACCAAATGTAGAATTATTTTGATCAAAAGAATTTTTTTCTTGTGTTTGTGTATTATTTTCTGACAGAGGGCTTGCAACCAGGGTTAATGGTTTCCTCACTGAGATCTTTATCTTCTCTTCAACCATTACTCGGCAGTTCACATCATTGAGACAGTCATAACAGTTTCTAATGGCACTCGAAGTATGACGCTGGTAGCAGTATCACTGTTATATCGAGAGATTATAGAGTTTATCGAGATCTTTATTTGTTACCTAGCAACTGTTTACGTTGTTGTTGTAAAAGTCCTTCTAGATGATCAGCACGTTTTAATGCAGCTTGATATTGTTGTTTTAACTGAGTAACAACCTCCTCTTTCTTAACTATTGCTTGCTTTACCCTGTAAATATATGTACATTGTATATTACATTCACTTACAAACAATACACATTATTACTGATAACCTTGAATATCAGATTTCTGCGACATTGTTCTTATATATTTCCATGTGCCAAAATTTCATTACCTAATTTTGTATGGCTGGTGTATATTATCTGATAAACCTAAACATATTCAAAATTTCTAGCATAAATAAAGTCAATCTTCAAAAATTTCTTACTACCCTTCTTTTTAACTACTGTATTTACTCATCTATATGTCGGACCACCTAAAAGATAGGGTACATAACTTTATCCATGACATCATTCTATTTTTTACATAAAAACCCATAATCAAATAAAATGATATTGCTAATTGAAAAAAATGAAAATGGAAAGATTATACATCTGGGAATTTCATATGAAGGCAAGCAATTTGAAATCATTTATCATAATTGAGTGTTATAAACAGTCTACTAAAACATGAACAAAAAGTCATGATCATAATTATAGGAGATCAAGGAGAAAGATTTACCGTTTATGAACTTCCTCCATTTCCTCATCTTTTTGATGTTTGATATTTTCAATTTCATCTTTTGCCTTGTCAAGTTCTATCCTCTGACGAGCCTTCAGTTCGGAGATCTCCGTCTTGATACGCTTATTTTCCTCGTCCGTAAACACGAGTCGGTCGGCGAACTCCTGACGAATAATGTCCGATACTCTATCACGTTCCTTGTGCATCTTGTCTGTCAACTGAATTTGAATTGTCAAATAATAACCATGAAAAAATTATCATCTACGTAATTATATATGCATAATAATCTGGAAAAGGGGAGATCCTTCAAAAGCAATAAAATCAAAGTTGGAAAGTGAAAATTCCAAAGGTTTCATTCAAATATTTATACACTAAACAAAACTTAATTCAATAAAACTCCTTTATATTGAATTCATTGCATAATTATTATTATTAAAAAAATTAAATGTTCAACTACTGCTCATCACTGTCACTGCATAAAAGCTTTATGAAATCTAGATGTGGATGTTGATGCAGATACTGGCATAAGTGCAGCAACTCTGAATATACTTAATAAGCAAAGGTTATAACTCACCTTCTGTAATTCTTTTATTTCCTGATCTTTCTGTTTCATCTGTACTTTAAAACATTCATTTTCACCATCTACTTCTGTAAGACGTGCCTATCAACATATACGTATAATTATTTTACTTTCTAAAATTTATATTCATGTACAATGTCATTCCAAGGGATATCACAAAAGATCATCAACCTGTTTCAGTTCCCTTTTATTTCAGTAACCTTTTTTAGAAGTCTTTATTATCCATATAATGATTCTTAACTCTAACTTTGCTACATATATCAAATGGGCTTATCCATTTCTTAACTTTGGACTTAACCCTTTATCATTTTTAGGGAAAATTTCAAAATGTAGTGGGTAAATAGCAAATTATGCAAACCATGATAAGATAGCACAGATGTGCCAATTAAATGATCTTGGTCTACAATGGTCACATGGGTAGAATCAGTTGCTACCAGCAGGCTAAGGGTTAATTAGATAATCATTGCACTGAAAACTTTAACTAAGTGTTATGATGTTTTCAATACCATAAGTAGTTGAGCTTCACCATTCTTTGAACTTTTTAAACAGTCTGATAAGACATGAAGTATTTAAACTTTTAGTGTTAACTTATGTATAATACCTTCATCTCATTGTATCTATCCATCGCCTGTTTCTCTGATCTCTCAACTTCTCTCATCTCTGACTCATATTTCTCTCTAATTCTCCTGTTAATATAGGGGAACACTTATCTTACAAAGTGGGGACAGTTGTTTTACAGCACAGTTTTGACAACTTTTTGAAACATATCTGTGATAGTGGCATGCCTACGCCACAACAACAGTGCCAGTCCAAAATCAGAAAATTATCAGTATTTTTCACTTAATCTTAAGTCACACACATAATTATTGTGACACAAATAAAACTCAACAAGACAGGCTAAAAACAGTTGACTTCTTAAATCTACCCAACACTAAGAAAAAGCACAAAATAAAATCTTATTTCATAACATAAATAACTAATATTATATGAACTTGTGGTCCAACCCTTTTTCTTTCAAAAATGTATTTTTATATCTTTTTCTTTATACAATGTATTTGCTTTTTACACTTTGTGAAAAAGAAAGGGAAAAAATATGTTTTAACTATACATAAATGACTTTTTTTCTGCTATGTCACACCAAATAATAAAATGCCCCTTTTAATTGCACTTCAAACACCTTATAATATTGACATTCTATCATATTGCACTGAAATGCCACTTTTAATTAATTGCACAGAAGAAGTCAATTGAAAAATGCCACTTTTGATTGTAATTAACATGTTACAATAGCATAACCTACTTGACATCTGTGCATTTAACCATGTGAAAAATACTATTGTATTGCAATCAAGACTTTGAATATTTTTTGGAATATTACTCAAGTTAACTTTTAGCATTTCCCTATAAGTAGTGCTTAGAAAAATTTAGACATTTGAAACAGATTCTTCCAGGTAGAACATTTCATTTCCTGGGATATTCCTTAAATTTTAATTTCATTTATAAGGTAAGATACTAAATATATGTTTTCATTTTGTCCATGATAAAGCTAGTGCCAGAATAAATGCACTTGACTTGACATACCTTGTGGATTATAAGCATGTTGGAGTTTACTAATTTGAAAATAGTGCTCAAACCGAATGGCATATTGCTTATACATTTTACTAAATAGATTGGTGTTAGTCCGATTAAATTTCTATTTGGAATAAAAATAAAAAGTCTATCAGGCATTTGAATTTGTTTTCATATGAAATATCATGTTTAGATGGCATGTGAATATTAGAATTTATATCTAACTTTTACGAATTTCATTCTGTAACTTTAAAATTATGTTGATATATTAAGTTTGGTGTTAGTTTTAGCACTTTTTTATATGCAACTGACTTGGCATAATAAAATTAAGATGTAACAAAAAATAACAATAACTAATTCTTTTTTTTTTTAATTTTTTTTTTAAGGAAGAATACGCTTTTTCTTATAACATAGCCCAACAAAATCAATTAAAATGTTACTTCAAGAAAAGTTTCCATTTTAAACAGAAAATGTTATAGAAAATCTACATACTTGATTCTATTTTCGGCCACTCTCTCACAATCTTCCCTTTGTGACGTAGCATCTTCCTCCAGTTGTCGTATTACAAGCTCTATCTCCTTGTTTCTATCTTTCTTCACCCCATCTTTCAGCTCCCTCTCTTTCTGCATCAGATAGTTCTCTTGTTTTTTGCGGTAATTCTCTTCCCAAGTCTGCTTCTCAATCTCCATACGCTCTTTTAATTCTCGAATTTCAGTCTGAAACAATATAATATAATTGAGCTGCGTCACGACAAAATCAACATAATGGGTTTGCGACCAGCATGGATCCAGACCAGCCTGCGCATCCCCGCAGTCTGATCAGGATCCATGCTGTTCGCTATCAGTTTCTCTACTTGTAATAGAGTTGGTAAGTGAACAGCATGGATGCTGATCAGACTGCGCGGTAGCGCAGCCTGGTCTGGATCCATGCTGGTCGCAAACCCATTATGTTGGTTTTGTCATGACGCAGCTCATATATATAACGAACTGACATGAATTATCTTTTCATACAAACTTGTATAAAACCAATTATAAGAAAATATTATTATAAAACAGGACTGTTGCAACAAATGTAAAATTCTTTTTAACATAATACCTCCACCAGCAACTTTGACTTTTTGGAAAATAAGTGGTCAGAAGAAAAATTTGAATACAACCTATAGTAAATGAAGTATCAACTGTGTACAAAGAATTATTTCAATTAATTGCAATCCCAACCTTGATCTTCTTATAAGCATGCTATACACCAAGTTTGATTAAAAATCTCATTCCTAACTCTAGTTTTTGTCTGGAAACCATTTTTCTATTTTTAGTTACGGTACCCTTAACCTTAGCCCCAGGGGTCCAAATGCAATTCCAACCGGGGTCTTCACATAAGTTTGCGATACATCAAGTTTGATTACAGACAGACAGACAGACAGAAAACTTTATTTTCACTCAAGGTATTACAAATACAACATGAGGATGTATGCAAATAACACAAATTAAGCAATATATGGTTCCGGTAGAGATCTCATTCCTAACTCTAGTTATTGTCTGGAAACCATTTTTCATTTTTTAGTAATGGTGACCTTGACCCCTGGGGGTCCAAATGCAATACCAACGGGGGTCTTTATATAAGCTTGCTATCCAACCAGTTTGATTACAATATCTCATTCCTAACTCTAGTTTTGTCGGAAACCATTTTTCATTTTTTAGTAATGGTGACCTTGACCCCTGGGGGTCCAAATGCAATACCAACGGGGGTCTTTATATAAACTTGCTATCCAACTCTAGTTATTGTCCGGAAACCATTTTTCTATTTTTAGTGACAGTGACCTTGGCCTCAGGGGGTCCAAATGCAATCTCAACAGAGGTTTCCACATAATGTTGCTTAATATCATTTACAATAACTCATTTCAAAGTCTAGTTATCGCCCAGAAACCATGATGTGGACGTCCTACCGACAGACTGACCATCTGACTGACCGACAAGCTAATACCTATATACCCCCTTAACCTTTTTGTGGGGGTATAACAAATAAATGGAAAAAATATCCAAAGGCACAAAGACCTAAAAGCTCATCCCATAATAATGAACATTCAGTGAAGTCCTGGTAACTTTTTGAGACTTAATGGATTATGTTTAACTTAAATTGACACTGTTTCAACTTTATTATACTACTGGCTACTGGTTAAAATAACTTTGTCCAGACAATAACTTATCTGTGGTGAGGAAACATGATAATGACCCTAGAAAAGCTCGAATCCACTATATATCACTGGGTGGAGACATGCACCTAAAATTGGATTATGCCATGGCTCCCCTTCATTCATTCTTACTTCTTTGACACACTGAAATTCATCTCACTATAATGGACAATTCCAAAATTAAAAGCATGACATGTCCTGTACATGATTACAGCAGGGTTTTTGCTAATATTCCTATCTACCAGATACAAGTGAAACAATGATCTTACAGCATGCCTATTTTCTTGCTCCTCTCTGGCTCTATCAAACTCTGTTTTCATTGCATCTAGAGCGTACGAATGTTTATCCTGGAGTTGTTGTTGTAACTTATCTAGGTCAGCTCTCTGACGAGACGCCTGTCCCGCCAGACGGTCTTTCTCCTCCTGGATCTCTGTCAGCAGACGACGACGCTGGGCCTGATAAGCCTCTTCTTCCGACTGTATCTGCTTCTCGTACCTGAAATAAAATAATCAATTTATTCTTTTCTTTAAACAACGCATCATTAAAAGAAGTAAATATCAATGGAAACAGACAAAAGCTTTCCATGACAAAAGCCCTCCCGTTCAAAAATGACAGGGCAGACAAAAGCCCTCCTGTGAAATTGACAGGGTTGGTAAAAGCCCTCACACAAAATGACAGGGTAAAGGGCTTTTGTCCATCCTGTCTTTTTTTTGGAAGGGAGGGCTTTAGTTTATATTACGTTATATTTCTTTAGGTTGTATTTAGTTACAGTTTAATTTTAAAAAGTGACATTATTTCTAGAATATTGTACATATATGAAAATAGCAAATAAAATAAAGTCCTATGCTTAGTAAGACAATATCTTTAAAAATATGTTTTGTTTAGTTGTTCTTCTGAGAAATTGGAATAATCCATAAGGTTGTGAAGAATTTACTTATGTCTTTTATCAAAATTAGAAAAGAAAACAAGTTAAGATAAATGCATTATTAGGATACACCTTCTATAATAGGGACAATATCTTTTTCACTTACAGGTTGTTACGTATTTTTTTCTGATTTTTCTTTCATATAATACATATTTGATTTATTTGGAATATTTTATCTTTTCATCAAAAAATGCAATATCCTTTAAAATTAACTCATTCCACTTGTTACAAGTACATATTAATTAAAATCCTAACCAATCAATTAACATTGCACTTATCTTCCCATTGATCTATCAAAATACAATGAATTTAATCAATTATCACCTTAAATTCTATATCAATTATCACCTATAATTGAATAAGGAAGGTCTTTTATCTTATTCAAATCTTATCAGTGCATCATCTTTGATCTTGTATTGTATTATCACATAACACCAAAAAGTGTGTCCCTACATGTGTTATTCTAATTATCACTTTTTTATTTGCATCTTTCTTTAATCATTTCAATCTGTTGAGGGGTATAAATATTTGGACTTTGTTTCAAAACATTGTCACTTTCAGATATTCTCCAAAGTTAAAACTACCAACAAGTGCTAAAATAAAATTTCTAACAATGGCTTTACAACTAGATAACCTTCTTGCTGTCAGGAACAAGGCAGAACAACAACTAGATGTTCTTAGTAAGTAATTATACACACTTGTTCATTGCAAGGATTTTTAAAAATTTCAAATATACAGAACAGAATATTGTATTGGCATTAAATGTAAATATTATAAATGTCCAGGTGTATGGGTATCAAGGTTAAATCTTGTATTTTATTCATTTTATATCTAATATTATACGGAAAAACATAAAAAATCCGTAAGCCTAGTATCTTGTTATTTTGATAATATTGTAATGTTGTTTAATATCTATTTTTAGATGACAGAGTAACCAGTCTAAGCCAGAAGATATTTTTAGCTTCAAACCAGTCTGATAATCTATGGCTGCTTCTACAACTATCAGTTACCGAAGGAGTCCAGGACATGTATACACACTTCTACAATTTAACCAAACAACAGGTAAATTTTCCTTTTCATTTTAATCATAGGAATAAATGTCTCCATTGTGAGCTAAGCTGGTTGACTGAATAAAAACAGTACTAGTGTTAAAGCCTCATGCCTCCAGATAAATGCTTATTTTCATGAACATTTTGAAAAATGTTTTAGAAGTAAATGTTGTGATGTGAACAGTGACAGTTATTTACTTATTACAATCCATCTAAATTACCAAAAAGAGAACAAAATATGCAAAACCCCTTTTACTTTTTATCATTAGTAGAAATATGTGATAAATACTAAAATAGCCATAAAATCTAAAAAATGTATATTATTACTTGAATTTTTTTAATTTGCTAAATCTTTGAAAATTTTTTAAATTTTGTTTATTAAAAATTTTTTTGGCTTATCTGGGGGATTTTAAAACAAAAAATTAAAGAATCTTAATAAAATCATTGATACTTGGAATAGTTTCATAACCAACTTTTCTTCACTGTAATTTAAGAGACACAAAGAAAATGCACTAAACACACATCTTACATTCTGAAATGATTTTGTATTTGAAATACATGTACATTGTAATTATTAATCTCTGTTATTCAGGTCCTACAGAAATCTCCAGAAGAAGCAGACGTCACAATACATGAGGCTGGTTCTACAAGATCTTCAACAAGAATCAACACAAAGACTGACAAAGCTGCTGTTATTTTGACAAGTGCTTTCTGCAAGTTCTACAGAGCCTCGTAGACTGAGCTTTAAAATGAGAAAACTTTGCATATGATAGTTTAATACAAAGATATTGTTAATACTGATGTGCTTCAATCTTAAGTGCCTTTTTATAAATGTTAAAAATTGTTTTTATCTTAAAGATATGGTTTTAATAAAAACAGCAGAAAAGATAAACATGTTTTTTGTGTCTTTCAAATGTCTGATTTTGATGTAATATGCGTACCAGAGAACATGTCTATCCCAAAATCCCACCAAATTCATTCATGTGTCCAACTAGTTGTTGGTAGAACCTTGATGAAAGCCATTACCAGCAATAATCCACATTGTTTAATATAGGATGTTCCTCCAGCAATCCATAGGATAGTTTCCTAAAGACATAGACACTGTCAGTGTTACTTAAAAACCATTCCCCCCAATCCACCCATCCGACAAAAAGAGAAGAAAATATCCATTTATTGAATTCATTTTTTGTGTGTGTGCAAATATTGTTTATAAATGGCCCCTACAATTGAAAATAATGTTTAATGTAGCAACATCCAGTTAAAGTTTTAACAATGAACCAAAACAATGACTTATAATTAAAATATTACGTAAAAAAAGATTGTTTACAAATGGTCTTTGATATCTGATGTTACTAAAAAACCTGACATTGTTAAAAGAGAGTGGGCACTTAATAGTCAGAAATCAGAAACTCTGGAAACAAGAAAAACCCTAAAAAGTTACCTGTTAAATCAATAATCTCTAAACAGAGTTCAACTCTTACTTTTTATACATATATTTTTCCTAAATCATATCCAAAATTAGAAATACAAGAGATGTTTTTGATACAGATGTGCCCCCTTATGAAAACCAGTGGACTTCTTCTCTGTTAACTTTGTTAAAATCAGGACTGTTAATACAGTCACTGCAACCATGAAATTCCATCATCATTGTAATGCAAACATGTTAACCTTACAAATAAAAAAAAAAGCCTTCTTGATTCTATAACTGAAAAAACGTTTTTTTTTTATTAGAAACAAGATTTCTTTGGTTAGAATACAATCACAGGGACTCAGCACAGTGTTGGGATAGTGTAAAAAGTAATTCTAGAAAAAAATATATACTGTATATATAATATATAGACACAACTGTTGATTTGTTTTATCGATTTATTGCGGGTTGGTACAATGGCATGGTTTGGAATTGCGTTTTTACATGTAGAAAATAGAGTGGGGACTGGTTGCACGGTTGTGTCCGAAATATTGGTGTATTGTTCAAAAACGGTTTAAATGGAGACAATAATGTTATTGTCAACGTCTAGTGATGTCATTTAGCTGCAATTTGATATATAGCTTTATATGATTTACGTAAAATATGACTTTGCAATTTTGACTTATAGTCGACTAGTGACATTTGGCTGTGATTACATTGACCAACTTCATCACTTAATCTTATGACAATAGGCCAAACCGTTCTCTAGTAATTGGTAGCCTACAGAGGGGTCAAGGCCATAATGAAGGACATAATGACCTTGACCTTTGACCAAAATATTTAAAAAATATTAATGGTTATCTGCAAATCATGACCAACCTGCATACCAAATCTCAGGACTGTAGGCATAAAAGTTTATATTTATTTGTCTGACATACATTTTTATGCTAGGGCCACGATGACAATGACCTTGACCACCAGACACAGTCACTAGGGGTAATTCTAGTCATTACCAATCTGCACATCAAATATTAGGACTCAAACTGTTCTCTTTTTATTAGCCAGACAAACTTTCTGTGGTAAGGGACACATTGACCTTTGATCAATAAAGGGGTCATCTAATAGTCATGACCTACCTCCACATTTAACCATAAGACTTTGTGAGGACCAAAGCATTCTCAGTCTAGTTATTGATTGGAAATGGTGTGGATTACCAACATACAGACTGACAGATGCTGTGCAAAGCAATAAACCTCCAATTCTTAGAAGTATGTGCATATAAAGTACACCATTATCAATGAAAATGCTTTGATGAAAACAATCAAATATATGCCAATCAGAGCACCATAATAAATCCTTTTACCCACACTTATACTTCCCATACATAATTATTTCCTTTTAAAAACATGTGTAACAAAAAGTTGCAAAAGCATTAAGACAGGAAAAAGCTTTTATGTAAGTTATCTACAACATCAGAAACATCATAATTTTTGTTTAATTTGACCTCAAATGATTTATTATTATTGGGTAATGCTATCTGAAAATCAAAACTATCTTTAAATTAGTTTCACTTGCAACAAGTACATATTTAAATTATTTAATTCATACAATCAATTTTCTTAATTAAAAATACCTTACTATCTGTAAGTGATCTTTTCAAGAATTTAATTTCAAATTATTATCAATTATCACCTATAATTGAATAAGGAAGGTCTTTTATCTTATTCAAATCTTATCAGTGCATCATCTTTGATCTTGTATTGTATTATCATATAACACCAAAAAGTGTGTTCCTACATGTGTTATTCTAATTATCACTTTCCTCATTTCCATCCTTCTTTAATCATTTCTATCTACAGAGATATATAAATATCCTAATTTAGTTTCAAACACTGCCATTCTCAAATATTTACCAAGTTTAAAGTATCACCAAGTGCAGCGTTGCTAGTCCTAAATAAAATTCTAAGGAATGGCTTTAGAGCTGGAAAACTTTCTTGCTGTCCAAAACAACATAAAGCAACAACTAGATTCTCTTAGTAAGTATTTTATACACATTTTTATCATCACATTATTTACAGTTTTACCCTTTCTATGCTAAATTTGTACCATAGACTTGTCTTGCATTTCAATAACTGTCCATAGTTTTGCCATACATAGACTTGTCCTGCATTTTAATTACTGTCTATAGTTTTACCATAGACTTGACCTTCATTTTAATAACTGTCCATAGTTTTACCATATACTTGTCCTTCATTTTAATAACTGTCCATAGTTTTACCATATACTTGTCCTTCATTTCAATAACTGTCCATAGTTTATGAGACATATTTTAACCCTAAATATGCAGGTTTGTGTAATGCATTTTCCCTACTTTGAGTTTGGAACAGTTAGAGATTTCAATATGAAACTAGAAGGTTTTTTTGTCACAAAAACATATTTCTCCCATAACTAGGTATTGTACTGATCACTCCTGCGAAAGCCTGACAAGATTTGTCTACTTATAGCTCTGGCAGCCATTTTGTTCATGGAAGGCGAAAGTCCAGGCGATATCCACAACGAGGAATGGTACTGATCAATCCAGTGGTTTGATTAAAATTGCACAAGCAGTTTGACCTGTGAAAGCCAGACAAAAATTTTCTATTTTTAGCTCTGGCAGTCATTTTGTGCAGGGTAGTGGAAAGAACTGGCGATATGCACAACTAGGGATGATACTGATCAGTCCTATGAAGTTTCATTGAAATTCCACCAGCAATTTGACCTGTGAAAGCCACACAAGATTTTTCCATTTTATGATTTATAGCTGTCGTGGCCATTTTTTGCAGCGAAGCAGAACGTGCCGGCGATATGCACAACTAGGGATGGTACTGATCACTCCTATGAAGTTTCATTGAAATCCTGCCAGCATGGTGACACATAAAAGCTGGACAAGCTGAATGTGGACGGACGGACAGAGTAAGACAAAAACAATATGAGAGACATAATTACAAAAACTGAACTTTCAACAGTACAGAGCCATGTCAAACTACACAGATGTACAGACTGGCCTTTCTCTGTACCAATGACTTAGGCAAGAAATAATCAATTTCTGTAAGTTTATCTTATATAATAAACAGTACATCATATAATACAATTTCAGATAACAGAGTGACCAGTCTAAGCCAGAAGATATTTTTAGCATCAAACCAGTCTGATAATCTACGTCTGCTTCTAGAACTTTCTATTACAGAAGGAGTCCGGGACATGTATGCACACTTCTACAATTTCACCAAACAACAGGTAAATCTTTATTTTGTAACTTTATGTCACTTTATTTTTAGATCTCTAGGTTAAAAAAAGTAACATTAATTGTATCATTTTTTAAAACACACACAAAATTATCTTAATCAAAAACTAGAACTATCACTAAATGTGATTAATACCCCCACAAGTCTGCTTCGGAAATGAGGATGTTACTAGTAACAGAATACCTTGTAAAAGAATTGAAACATAGAGTTATGGTTGTGGGCAATTAAAGATAATTGTGGTTCATGTATGTTGCATTTCCTTTCAATGTGGTTGGCCATTGATAAAGTTTAATTGAATTACTCTGTAATAAGTCAAGAAAGACAAAGAAAAAGAACAAAGGGCAATAACTCTATAAATACTGAAGATAGAGTTATAGTTCTTGTGCACTGCACTTCCTCTTATTGTGCTTGACCATTGTATGAAGTTGTTTTGAATTCCAACCAGTACGTTTTAAGTTATGCTCCGGACAAGGAAAAGTATCAAAGGGCAGTAACTCTGTATTTTGTCAAAATTGAGTTATGGCTCTTGTGCACTGCACTTCATTTTAATGTCCTTGACAACTGTATGAAGTTGTACTGAATTCCAAACAGTAGTTTTCAAGTTATGCTCTGGACAAGGAAAAGTGACAAAGGGCAATAACTCTGTAATTAGTCAAGCTGGAGTTATGGTTCTTGTGCACTGCACTTCCCCTTATTGTGCTTGACCATTGTATGAAGTTGTTTTGAATTCCAACCAGTAGTTTTCAAGTCATGCTCTGGACAAGGAAAAGTAACAAAGGGCAGTAACTCTGTAATTAGTCAAGATGGAGTTATGATTCTTATGCACTGCACTTCCTCTCAATGTGCTTGACCATTGTATGAAGTTATAATGAATTCCAACAATAAGTCTTCAAGTTATGGTCAGGACAAAAGAAAGCAATGGAAAAGTAACAAAGGACAATAACTCTGTAATTAGTCAAGATGGAGTTATGGTTCTTGTGCACTGCATTTCCCCTTATTGTGCTTGACCATTGTATGAAGTTGTTTTGAATTCCAACCAGTAGTTTTAAAGTCATGCTCTGGACAAAGAAAAGAAACAAAGGGCAGTAACTCTGTAATAAGTCAAAATGGAGTTATGGTTCTTGTGCACTGCACTTCCTCTCAATGTGCTAGACCATTGTATGAAGTTATAATGAATTCCAACAATTAGTCTTCAAGTTATGGTCCGGACAAAAGAAAGCAATGGAAAAGTAATAAAGAGCAATAACTCTGTAATTACTTTAGATAGAGTTATGGTTCTTATGCACTGCACTTCCTCTCAATGTGCTTGACCATTGCATGTAGTTATATTGAATTCCAACCATTAGTCTTCAAGTTATGGTCCGGACAAAAAAAAAAGAAGGCAATGGAAAAGCAACAAAGGGCAATAACTCTGTAATTACTTTAGATAGAGTTATGGTTCTTGTGCACTGCACTTCCCCTTATTGTGTTCGACAATTGTATGAAGTTGTTTTGAATTCCAACCAGTAGTTTTCAAGTTATGCCACGGACAAGGAAAAGTAACAAAGGGCAATAACTCTGTAATTAGTCAAGATAGACTAAGAGTTATGTTTCTTACGCACTGCACTTCCTCTCAATGTGCTTGACCATTGTATGTAGTTATATTGAATTCCAACCATTAGTCTTCAAGTTATGGTCCGGACAAGGAAAATGCAACGGACAAAAAAAAAGCAATGGAGAAGCAACAAAGGGCAATAACTCTGTAATAACTTTAGATAGAGTTATGGTTCTTGTGTACTGCACTTCCCCTTATTGTGTTTGACAATTGTATGAAGTTGTTTTGAATTCCAACCAGTAGTTTTCAAGTTACGCCCCGGACAAGGAAAAGTAACAAAGGGCAATAACTCTGTAATTAGTCAAGATAGATTCATGGTTCTTGTGCACTGCACTTCCTCTCAATGTGCTTGACCATTGTATGTAGTTATATTGAATTCCAACCATTAGTTTTCAAGTTATGCTCCGGACAAGGAAAATGCAACGGACGTCTGGACCGACCGACAGACCGACCAATCGAACGACCGACCGACCACCGGGTGACTCCTATATACCCCCCCAAACTTCGTTTTTGGGGGTATAATTAGACAATATAAAAACAATGTTTTCTTCAATTTTGAAAAAAAAATATTTCTTTGTAATAATCAATGATCTTTTTTCAGGTTCAAGAGAAATCTACAGAAGAAGCAGATGTCACAACAACACATGAGGCCAATTCATCTAGATCTGCAACAAGAATCAACACAAAGACAGACAAAGCTGCTGTTATCTGGACTAGTGCTTTCTGTGAGTTTCAAAGGGCCTCATAGACAAACTAGACATGTAAGTCTACAGGTAATGTATGTTGTGGAAATCTGAAAGTTTTTAAAATTAATGGTTATCTAAAATACGGCCTCAATCTAAAGTCACTTGGTAAGTGTTTTAAACATTGTAATATGCTATTTCATAGAAATTGAAGTTTACATAGTAAACATGGTTTAGCTAAGATCTAAATTACTAGTAAATTACCCCATGACTAAATCTAGCTCCCATATCAACAAGTAGGGCCCTCAACAGGAGCTAATTAGTAAACGGCCACTTGATTTGCACAGCTCTCCTCTCTTTACATGCATAATAAAACAGGAAAAGTAATTTTACACTACCCTTAACTTTAAAGAGCATGGCTTTCTGGTTCAGAATCTAGTAAGTATGATGTTATAGGAGATAAGAAGCCAAAACCAAGAAAGAGGGCATACTGGCTCGGGCTACGCCACACTTGATGGTTTCTAACATGTATGCATTTTATTCCTACATTAACTATATTATAATTCATTTAGTCTGTTTCTTTAAAATCGATTTCCTGTCTCTTGTTTTGTAATTTTAATTTGAGTATAAATTATCATAAATAAAAGTAGTAAAGAGAAAATAGAGAAGTGTTGTTGTTTTTTATTCATAGCAAAATGTAACAGTTTAACAGCTGTCAACAATAGCATATCTTTCCCTAGTATGCTATAACACTGAACAGGCATAACTTTTTTGTGTCACTTTGTATGCAATCTGCATGAGGAAAATAACTATCAAATACAAAATGTTATGCCCATTGTATGTTCTAAATTTGCCTATCTACAGGCTTGAAGCTGAATTTCCTCAGCAATATCCTTCCCTTACACTCAAAAAGGCTATGTTAGTATAAGTTTAAAAGAACTTTATATATAAAGTCCATGGTAGCTCACACAGAAATTCATTTTTTTTTTATACAATTTTGTTAAGTTTTCAGGTCATATCAACATTTTTTAATTCATATGACTTTCCAGCTTTAATGTTGAAGCAAGTGGTCCAACAAAATAGAAATTATCGACATAAGTTGGCATCAGAATGGAACCACTTACCTTCCCTGCACCCTAGTATTTTATGTACACACCTCTCAGTATCTTACCTTTGTTTAGCTAGTTCCCTCTCTCTGGCACAAGCCGCCTCTTTCTCACTAGCTAGTTGATCTCGTAACTCCTCCGTCATCCGGACGTATTTCTGTGCTGCCCTCTCATCCGATTCCAGTAGCTCTGCCTCATGGATCTGCTTGATTTTCTTTAACTCTGATTTATGTTTAGCAATCAAGCGTTGTATCTCAGGTTCTAGACCTTTAACAGTCATTTCCTATAGACAGAAATTAAAAATTTGATATTAAAGTATTTGATATCAAAATGAAATCTCTATTAGTTATTCATCCAAAAATGTACTTACAACATGGTAAAATGAAGATGAGGCTAAAAACAGGTCATCCCAAGACATAGTATTATTGAATGGAATGAATATCTACATACTATGATAGCATGTTAATAAAACACGCTATGACATCATGTTTTCAAAACAGGGAAAAAGACAGTCAGCATATTTCGATGAGGTTTATGTTCTTTTATGGCATTTATTATCATATAAACAACCTTTCAATTTTCATATACTTGAAAGTATCACACTTGTGACCTCTGGACCAAGATGTAACTTCAACATCAGTTAATGTGAAAGCCTCTATTATTTGTTCAGTCTATGCAAAAGACAGTTATAATAACATGTATAGTTAAGCACAAAAACAGAAAATCTCAAATTTTGTGTTTGTTCTTTTTAAATCACAAACAGGTTCCATGATCAACAGTCTACATTTTTTAAGGAATAGAAATATTCTCCTCTAACATACCTTGATTTTCTTTGTTTTTTCCTCAATCCATTTTTCTCTGCGAAGTTTCTCAGCAGCTTCATGCATGTCTTTTAATTTTTGCATGTCAATATTGTGTCTGTAAAATGAAAATAATAATTGTATTGATATCATATACAACATACTGTAAGTGATTTTTATACTAACATACAAACATAGTTCAAAACATGTTAATTTAAGCTTGATTGTGAAACAAGATCTTGCAAATTATATTAATAAATGTTAAGGTGGCTTACAAGAACCAAGCAGAATTGGCCTCAAGGTTATAAAAACCTCTTTCTGTCTCAAATCTCAGGATTTTCATTGGTCAGTGTACATTTTGTAACAGTTTCTGACCAATCAAATAACAGAGATCTGAGTTTTTTTTCTGTAGGAAGGTTGCATCAAAGAAATACTTTGTAAACCAAATATTGAAATTGGTCACTTTTCTTACTCTAACCTAAAATGACACATTAGTTTTAAGCAAAGGGATCTTACTCTTAAATACTTATAGCTTCATTTGATTTACTTGTTTTTTTTCTTTCCTTTTAAATGATTAACACAGGAAAAAAAGTGTCCTCTTATGGATCAATATATTCAATTTTATATGATTCTAACTAAGTCTATTTACAACCATGTATAAATTACTTGTCAGTGATGGCCTTTAGTCGATCTTGGTATTTCTTGTCAATCTGTTTTAACTCCTTCACAAGATTTTCACATTTCTCACTCAAGTTCTTCTTATCATCAATTAACTGAAAGAAAATTTAATATTTACCATTTTATTTTCATAAAAATTATAATATATCTAGACACAACATATTTTTCAATATAAAATCACACAAACATCAGGCAATTGCTTCTTCCAAATATATTTTACAACAGGATGAAAGCATTACAATATACAATACCAAATCGTATTGCAATATTTAATCAGACAAATTTAAATTACATTTGTAATTCCAATTTAGCATTCTGCATAAGAAACTTAACCTTTGTAAGTTTGAAGGTCTTTGTCAGGAAAAAAAGTAATACTTGAACAGCATCATCTTCAATCAATATGGGCCTCTATTACTAGTACATGCAGTCTAACCATTTTACCTTAATGAGGACAAATCAATTTCAATAATTTGATAGTTAAAATCCCTTTAGTTAATAATGGTCTTTTTAGAGTAACAGAATCAACAGATTTATGATAAAATTACCTGATCTATAAATGAGAGATGTCTTTTAATGGTTTCTTCATATTCATCTTTCTGTAACTCCATACGTTTTTTCATTTCCTTATCTGTCTCCCTGGCATGTCTTATAGTCAATTCACGTTGCTGGTTCTACAAGAAATATCAATGTCTCAATTCTTAACCCTAAATCTCTTCAAACTGATTGTGATTAACTGATCAGTATAGCATCAGATCTGCCAGTACATCCATGCAGTCTGATCAGGCTCTATACTCCTGGTGTCTCAATTTTTTTATTTTGCATTTTAGTTTATATTAATTTAGTTTAATGTGATTGTGTTGAAAGCTATAAGCTTATTGAAACACTCTCGAATCATTCCAGGAACCAACCAGTACTAAGCAATGAGTGTAAAATTTCTTGCTCATGGAAACAATGGCATGCCCCTGACAAGGTTTGAACCCAACCAGTATTAAACAATGAGTGTAAAGTTTCTTACTCAAGAAAACAACGACTTACCCCTGACGGGGTTTGAACACACACAGCCAGCAATCGTTAGATAACAAGTCTAATGTGTGAACCAATTGGCCATGCTGATTTTGATACTGAAAGCCCTTAAAATGGACTGTTTCTTGAAATGGACTGTTCCTTATTCAAAGTTGGGCAATTCCATTAAAAAAATCTGGCAGGTTAAGGGTTAAAATGGAAGATTAATAATTTCAATGACAGAGTCTAATAAAAACCTTAAAGTCACTTATTGCAATTAAATGACTCTCAAATAAACAGAGTTGGCAGGAAATACTTTCATCTCCTACATTCTTTTTACTTTAAACTGTTTTTAAACTAAAGTTGACCTTACCAGGGCTTTTTGTAACATGGAAACTGTTCTTTTTTTCTCATCAAGTTCAAGCCTCTGGCTGATCACAGTGTTAGTGACCTCTGAAGCCATTTCATTAGCATGGTCTAACTCAGCCAGCTCCTCAGCACTTGGACCTATCGCACCAGATCTCTCTAGATCAGCATTGAGCTTTGAAATCTCCTGAAATTCAAATCATACCAGATATCTACAGATATCTACAGACTTTTTCTTATTCAATACCTGAAATACCTTTTATTTAGAAAACATTGCTTTGATACTTGTTTTTGAGGAATATTCACCTACTGTTGGTAATAGATAAAAGAAGTGTTCTTTTCATATTCTGTAGGCTATATATTACAGTTGATTTGTACCAAAGTCAACTTCTTCTTTACAACAAAGCCCTGCCAACTTCCTGTATAGAATAAGTCAACAATTTTGTTGTATTGTTCCTGTAGAAGTAAGTATTCTTGAAGATACATCAAAAAGGTTAGAAAAATGTAAAACTTGTTCTATTTTTTTAAACAATATTTGAAATTGCCTATATTGACAACAGTGACTTTGTGGTTAAAGTTCCATGATCAGGTACTTCATATGAAATCTACTAGTTAATTCCTGACTAATGAGTGATTGATACAAGTTACTACCCTATGTTTCACAATTGAGCCTACATATTGTCAGTATAAACCAAACTTCAGTTATGTTTAACAATGTGACTGGCCCTAAAACTCCTACTCCAGACACAGAACCTACCTGGTCCACAGTACTGAGCCTCTCTGAGACTTGAACCTCATCAAGGAAGGACATGATGCTCTTCATCTTATCATCAGACAGCAGGCTCTCCTTGGTTGGTATCCCCACTTTCTGACTGTTAAATCTCTGCAGGTTTTCAGCATTTAAACTATGACTATCAATATCACTGTCACCTTTCTCAAGGTCATCCACTGTGTGGTCAAAAATGAAAACCAACGTAAACATTGTAAAGTTATCAATATATGTTGCCACAATAATTCATTCTTTTTCATGAATCCTTTATTCCAAAAATAAAAGTAATTATCATCATGTGAAATTGCAAACGAGGGTAATGGTCAAGTAATATTAAGTGTTTATTATAAGTTTAAAGGCAACATCTCAATAGACAATGGTGTCAATGAAAAATTAGGGTAAAACAGTACAAAAAGCTTAACCAAAGTGCATCAATGACATATTTGCTGTATACTGAATGAAAACAATAGCTCTTTATATTCAATGGTCTAAAAATTAAACTAAATAGAAATGTAATAACTTTTGGCACAGAAATAAAATCTTTTATCATGCCAAACTAAATTATAAGCTCTACTAAACAAATGTATTGAAAAATATTTAATTTAAACTCTGGTATTTAAAAATTACATAATATACCAAGGAATTACATAAGCTTGCGACAATGCTCTTCAAAAGTCATATCATGAAATGAAAATTTGTATGCCACCTATTAATAGCACTTACACCAGGCATTTTTCCTCTCTGGTCTGGCACTGGCAAGTTGTTCTTCCTCCTCCAGCTTCTTCAGGGTTTCAAACAAATCATCCAGGGTTGTCTTGGTAGCGGCCTCACTGGCTGTCACATTGCTAGCACCATCATTTTCTCGAGCAGTTGCTTGCCGAGACTCTATATCTCTAAGATGGCTCTAGTGAAATAAATGAATTAATTCAGTTCATGAATATTCATAGCAAATTAATTTATAAAATTTTACTTACACTAATAACAAAGTCTATGTTAAAAAACGTGAAGGTTTCATTTGCTAATCCCTCTTGGTTTGCAAGATAATTCATGAACTATTATCATAATTAAGTAAAGTTATTCACTCCTCTTCAAAAATTCTCATGAATTTCAAAAAAGTTTTTCAGTAAAGGACTCAAAGGCAATATTATCTCATTATTAATGTTACATTAAATCATCCAAAATTACTGCCTAGATACAAAATTGATTCAACAAGTAAATATTTCTAAGAAAGAACCTGGTAATATTCCTCCATACTGTCATCCTGTATTCTGTCATTGTTACTTTCCTTGTGATCCCTTTCCGGACTACTTTCATCATGCGTATTAATATTGGTGTCCTTATCACCAGTGGCTTTCTTTGATGGTGGTTTACTGCCACCTTTCTTCTTTCCTGCAATGTATATATTTAATACATATAAATTATAATGAATTCTATGTAGGACAATTAGATCAAAAACCAACACAAATTTAAATATCAAAACATGTTTTGCTTTATTAGCTTCATCAGTTGATACATAAAGGAAATGACGTAATTCTATGAGAATATCATTTCAACAGAAATCATTTTCTTTAACTTTCTTCAATTTTGAACCAGTTTGTGATATATTTCTTTTACATTTTTCATGATATTCATTATCTATGTAAGAACACATGAACCTCTCAGTGACATGTCAATTTTGATTTCTGGGTTGTAATTTGATAGGCTAAACTAAATTATGCGAGGCTATGTGACTTCAAGTTTTCACCCTTTTGATTTAAGAAGAAATTTTTCCTGTCAAAGTGTAGAACAGTTCTCTTATAAGACAGCTCATTCCGTCGAGCCCTAGAATGGTATTTTGTTGGTACCCAGTTCGAGTCCCAGTCAGGCTGCAAATTTATATAACCATGTGACATTTGGTACCTAACATAGAACATTATATTGCAATACTTTTTGTAGAATTAGGGGAACTGTAATGCATAATATCATTTCATTACAAAATCTGAAATGAAAGGTCTTCTTTCATTCTTATAACTCTAAAGCTGTATGACACATTGCCTTGCCTTGAATGTGGAACTGTACATAATCAGTATATCAAAGTCAAAGAATTGGGCAGCCACTGTATTGGGTCTGGTCAGACTGCACAGAAAGTTTAAGCTGGCTTGACACTAATGATATCAGTTCTCAAATTAATGGGCAAAAAATTACCAAGTCCAGTTTTCTTGATTTTTCCATTTGCTTGAAGAAAAGCAATTTCTTGTTCAGCTTTCTGTTTAACTTCATCTCTTTTCTCTTCTCTCTTTCTCTGTAACTCCTGCAATGTGATGTAATATCATTCATATATCAGGCTTCGCGAAAGTTGCCGGACCGTCGGACATGTCCGGCAAAAATCAGGCCGGTCCGATATTTTTTTCGGAGTTCCGGACCTTATGTCCGCTTTGATCATGAATGTTTTGATTTCCAGACAGAGTCCATCAATCTGACTAATGTTTTATTTAAGGGAATAAAATTGTGTTGCAAATCTTTAAAAGTTGTTATGTCTTTAAAAAAAACACAAAGGTATTATACTCAACATCACTAATTCGGCGTCATCACTTATCTCACGGTAATGGCATATTTTCATGTGACCAGTGTTAAGATTGGTCAGAATTGACATATTTTATTCAAACACCTTAACAACAAAGTTTTTGTGCAAAATAATTTAAGTCTATAGATTTTTATCACACACCCGTGCCGATTTTGTGACTCCGTAAATATGGTATTGCACGGCCGTGCATATATTTTGACGTGACGTCATTAGCGTTATACAAACATAGTGTAAAGACGCGCTAAATGTTAGCGTTATACTATAGGCGCGTCAATGAAAAATGACTCTTATTTCACTTTAAACAGTCTTTATTTTGGGTATGTGATAAATAGAATATTAAATTCGTGTAAGTTCATTATTGAATTTATTGCACTCGTTGAATAAAATAATATTATGCTCGCCAGAGGCTCGCATAATATAATTTTATTCAACTCGTGCAATAAATTCAGTATTGAACTTACACTCATTCAATATCCTCTATTTATGTAAAACTGAACAACATTTTACAAACTTCTGCAAAAAACAACAATAGTCCATTAAATTTGTGCATACATCTGAAACAATCATCATTTTCTAAATGTTCTTGTTTGTTGAAAAAAAAAATTTTGAGTTACAATGTAAAGATACTTTTAATATTTAAAATTATGCAAAATAACATAAAGAAATTTTAACTGAAACATGAAAAAAAAATGAAATAAAACACAATTACCGCAAGTTAAATGATGACACACTGTTTTCAAAATGGCCGACACACGGTCTACATCTGACAAATTGAAACTTATTTTGATTGAATATAATTATTGTTGTTTCCTTGTGTCATATAGCAGAAAAATGACTAAATGATACAGTTTATGAAAGTTTTTGTAGTGTAAGTTTATTGTTTGTCTTCTTTACTGTTTTAAAGTGTTAAGTACCGTGAACTAAAAGGCACAGTATACCATATACATATATTTGGAAACAAAATTCGGTCAGACAAAAGTTCTTTCGGTCAGACAAGAATTGAAAGTTTGTCTGACCGAATGTCAGGCAAATTTTTCAGCAGTTTCGCGAAGCCTGATATATAACAAACTGTGACGCTGGTTATTAAATTTTTCATCGAGATATGACAACATTAAGACTGACCAATCAGAAATCAGCCTTTTCAACACCTTACTGCTTTCAACCAAACATCTTTATCATTCTGACATGACACAACTTATGTAGACACTCAAAACTATCTCCAAAACCATTAAAGGCCCATTATGCCTCAGAAATGCTTTTATTTTTATTTCTCAAATGCATTTTAATTTTGATTTCCAAAAAGTTACTCATTGGCTAATCACCTGAACTACCTCTTTCACCTGTTGCATTTTTTCAATAAGTACAGTTATAGTTAATAAGGATTTTTGTATGGAAGTCAAAATACTACTTTGTTTACATTTCGCTACTTTTATGACAAATGATTTCACATTTACTGTTACTTTCTTCAAGTAACAAGCATTGAAAATTCTCTAAAACCATAACATTATCAAATTCATGTTTGCCCTTTTTTATGATGTAAAAATGTATTTGTTTCTGAAGCATAATGTGCCATTAAATCAAGTCAATTGATATACAGATTTTACACAAGTTTAAGAAAGATAATAAGGGGAAAAAAACACACACACACACAATAAATGAAGATAAAATTAGTTTTTATGACTATAAGTACAGATTTTTGCCTTATAATCAATATGTATCAAATTTATAGAGTTGCTTTATCTTAAGAAGTTAATCTGTTTCCATCACTGAATGGGAAAGAAACGCAATAGAAACAAGACTTGAAAGATTTGTGCTGAACAAAGGCCAAATTAAATAATGGTCTGGAAACAGTAAGTTCCCTTATTTTGTACTATCAATATACATGTAACCTTCAAGTGAAATGCAAAAATAATTTCACTTCTTTGCAGAGATCATTCCATTCAACAAAATGCCAGAATACTATTGAAACAATTATAAAATCAAAATATGTACTTAAAAAGATGAACTGAAAATGAAATTCATAGAAATCCGATCTTAAAGTAAATATCATCAGAAAAAATTAGTAAGACAACTTACTCTAATAGCTTCTTGTCTTGCTATTTTAGCCTTTTCCTCACGATTTCTTTTCCTCTCCTCAAGTTTTTTTTCCTCCATTTCTTTTGCGAAAAAATCATTTTGTGACTCTCGTAGTCTTTGCTCTTCGAACACCTGCTTCTTTGAATGCAACAGTCTCTGTATTGCCGCTTGACCGGCCTTTCTTCGAGCACTATGTCTTTTGTACCAACGCTGAATTTTCGTTGCTGCGAAATTCACTTTTTTTATATGGTCCTCAACAATTGAATTAGATGAATTAGCACCAGTGTTTGACCCACTTTGAGATTTCCGAGTCTGATTAACAGGTGTTTTATGTTTAATATTTTGGTAAGAATTTTCTAGATCTGATAAACCGACTTTCACGCCTTTCGACATACCTTGAAGCGTCATGTTATTTGCTATAGCACTCTGACTAGAGTTTCGAGAATGATTATTGTTTACATTTCTAGGACTCATTCTCCGGTCAGATTTATCTCCCATATTTGTATAGTCCTGTTTCTGAGACAGAGATTGAGATAGTCTATCTTGAAAACTAAACACTTCCTCGTCGGAACTACTTCTGGCACTTTTCTGTTGGAATATTGAATGTGTGTTTGATTCGTTTGTAAGCCACTCCTCCTCATCACCATCCAGTTTGGGAGAAACTGCATCAGTTTTCTTTGAATTCACTGGTTTTGCAACAAATCTACTTTTCAAAGCCTGAAATTAACAAAACGAAATAAATTAATGGAGTCTCTATTGTCAATCTACCCAGTGATAACACAATTATTGAATTTGCTTAAAGAATATTTCTTTAAAATTATTAATTTGAAAAAATTTCAGTTTTGAAAATTCATAAATTTAAATTATAAAATCGTTTATAAAACTATTGAGAATTTCTTAGTTGTGAGAAGTCTCTTTTGTGCATTCATATCATGTTATTAGATTTGACATCAACAGTGTATAACCTTAAACGCAAAGCAATTGTACCTTTAAAAGATACTGTTACTGTTTTTTGAGAGGACTGACCCAATTTTTTTAAATGACTTTTAGTCAATAAAATTTATAAATATAAAATAATAAACACCATCAATGAATCTCTATAATAGCTTCTAAATGCTTAAATAGCCAGTCTTCTTTCAGTAAAACAATATACATGTACTATTATTATTTTTTGTTGTCACATTTACATAATTTTAGTTATATGGCTACTGTGGAATAATCTAGGTGCTTCTCCCTGTATTAAACCAAGCATGGGCAATGTACAGCCACCCATCTTACCTGGTTCCCTTGTTCTCCCCACAACACTTTTCCTGCTGGTTTTCTACTGCTAGTTCCACTCTTGATTTTAGGCTGTGTTGAGTTTTCAAATAATGCAAGAAAATCGTCACTGAAAACAGAAAATGTACACATGCTGCAGAAATATTGTAATTTTAGTTTGAATATAGAACTCCAGTTTCAATTTAAAAATGTAAATAATTTAAATATTCTTATTCTGTATGTCTGATCAGTTTAATAGCTGCATAAATAGCCTTGGTGACAAATTGACAATAAACAAAATTTGGCAAAACATGGTCAAAACATTATTGTTAATTCCATCCAAATTTTCAAATTTCATCAATCTCAACTGTAAATGTTTTATTTTATAATAATTCAATTGAATTCAACGCAATGGCTAAGATCAGAAATTAGTGAAAGCAGTTCAATATTAGAAATAGGAACCAACTTCTAAATAGGAAAGATTTATAAATTATCCTTACATTACTGCTAATAAAAGTTTTTTATACTTTTTTCTCAATATAGGCCCTACTTACCTAGGAGATTTTCCCTTTCTAGCTGCAGCCCCACGTTTACTGGTGCTTACTGACGATATATCAGAGTAGCCACTCCTGTGACTAAAACCACCACCTTCAGCTGCATAAATAATAATTATCAAATATATATTCAATTTAAAGAGTGTATGCATATTACAGTTAACCAAATAACATTACAGCACATAATTACACAAAAATTTAAAAAAATATGGCCAAGTGCCGTAACAGTATGTGGCGGCAAAAGATACTGATGAACATGCCATGATGATGGATGGTATTATTTACAACCCAGTACATCTACTTAGTTATTAAATTATTTGCTCAAAGTTATATAAAATGACACCATTTTAGTTCTGGTGTGATTTGTGAGTGTGATCTGGTGCATTTTCTCCCCTGTTTTGCCTATGTATGTTGTTGTTAGAATCAAATACTTGCCTATATGTAATCAATAACTAGAATATATGACTGTCTCTTTGAATAAAAAAATCAAATCACTCATCCTATGCATTCTTGATTTTTTTAATAGAACTTGGACCATATTTTTACTGATAGAATATGTTTACCCCTTAGTACCTAGTTTCTTAAATGACTTTTATTAAAAAATTTTACAACCAAGCAGCAAGATTTTCTACAAAGTAATCTTTTTAATTATTGTGTGTATCTAGAGATGTTAAAACCTTGACATAAGCATAAATGTATAAAACTTACCCTGGCCTGACTTTTTTCTTGCAGACTGTGTTTTACTCTAAAAAAGAAAAAGTGAAATAACAGCGTAATCTATCTGTTTAAACATTGTGATCATGCTCTAGAAAATAAATAGTGAAATAATTACAAGTGTAATCAGTCTGTTTAACATAGTGAAATATAGTGTAATCATGCTCTAGAAAAGAGATAGTGAAATTCATAATCTGTTTAAACATAGGTATGAAGACTTAAGGATTACAAACCCTATGTAAATTCTAAATCTAGCATCATTTTGTTTTCTTTTGACATTTTCCTGGTTACTCTATTGGAAACCTGTAGTCCAGGGTTAACATGAACATATGTCATATAAAGACACATTTTTTAAATTCTATGTGTTAACAGCTTTCTTTAATCAAATTACATTTCATGTTATTTCCATTAGTAAAATTATACCTCTTTTGAAACATCTGTCATAGAATTTGGCCTCTTTAGTTGTTTGGCTGATCCAGGTCTGCTCCTACTGGTTGACGCTGCTGAGTGTATCCCTGAGCCTGTAAGACTCAGGTTGAAGTCGTCAGCAGGCTGACGGCCACGAGATGACATCCTGAAATATGACAGAATTCTTGATATTATATTTATTCTATTCACTTGATCACCCATGTGTATACAGTATGTGTTCAATCTAGGGTGTGCATTGCACCATTGACCCCCAAAATAGATTGCCTGCACAAAATAGTTGAACCTTGACAAATATATGCTAGTGTGTCCCTTTCCCACATGATTAACCATTGTCTGGTTGCTATCCTGAGCAAAAAGTGTTTGCTTGCCCCTCACTAAATGTCATGCCATGGCCTATAGTTTATTTAGAACTACTTGAGACTTAATTTTATAAATTCTCTATGACTTTTTAACATTGGAACCACTTATCCCCATAAACTTAAATCAGTTAAATGCAAATTTATCAAGAATTGTAGGCTACATGTCTCACCTGACCCTAGTTTTCCAGCTCCCTTGATTTTAAATTTTAATCTTTCCTCATCCTCATTTATCCTATTTAAACAACAATTTTAACATTCTTACGATTTATGATTATGGTGCACAAAACTGTCTACGTCCAAACCAGGATTTAACATGACAAGGGAAATGTTGAACATTTGACAATAAAAAGGATGTAGCCACTAACCTCTATGGTATATCAAAAAGGATACAAGATTAATTTAAGTAGTTGGGAATTATAAAGCTTTTTTATAAGATTAGTCTTACTGATTGATTGTAAATCCATTCAGTTTCAAAATTACATTGTGGTCTGTGTCTTATATAAAAAATGCTCATAATTTTGACTAAACATAACATCTGATGGAAATTTAGTATTGTTTTAAGCTCAAGTTTTCACAAAATAAATTCAGTTCACTTTGCTCAGACTGCACCAGGCTAATTTAACAAAACTAACCGATGATTATAACGCCTTACCATAGAAAACAGTTAGAAGAAATGAATATGTTGCAAAAATGGTGACCATGGGTTACATAGCTATTAATTACTTACTCTGTGTGAAAAATGAAAATGCATAAAATGACAGTTCCAAAACATGCGTAAACAAACTTGTCCGAATGTCAACTTCCGGCGAATATCAAGAATAAGATTAGAATAAATTAATACACGCTTTTTACTATTGTTTATTTCTTGATAAATCAGAACAGTTATTAAATGCTGTAAAGAGAAAGTTATCAAAAATAAAATATGTTATAAATATTATCAAAATGTTGGGAAGTAGTGAAAAGAAATCCACATGCTAATCGGTTTACTTTTTTCAATGGAAGCTTCGTTTGTGAAAGTTATAAGGTCGAAAAGCAGCCATTTTGATTTTGTTCAAGAAAAAAACTGAAAGGATTTCCCCAATTTTCCAGACACTTTATTGTCTTATGAGCTTTTATGGGCTCTTCTAGCATGCATTTGCCACTTTTCTCACAGTATTCATAGCAATGGCAGGGAATCGTAAGCTGCAAGGTACGCTGTTTATGCATATTTACAGTACGCATTGCACATACCCTGGTTGTTTTTGTCCTTTCTCTCTGATTTAATGTCAGCAGCACGGAAGTCGTTCAGTTACATACATATTGTCTTTGAGTTAAAGATCTTCCCCTTTTTCGTAGATTACCAGTTTGGTCACCGAAACAGCTAGAAAGAATGAAAATTTACTGTCAATTATTTCAAAAATACTGTCAAGGGAGGTAACTTTAAGGATTTCACTTTGTAGGATTTCACAGCTGTTTATCATATTAAATGTATTTGAGATATTGTTTTGCCACCATTAGACGGTTATATGGGCATGCAAAAAATAACATGTTATTGTTTTGACTGGAATGAATGATTCAGATGTAAACAAAATTTAGGCTAAATGTAATGTAAATTGATTTTAGGAAATGTTCTATCAATGCTCTAATGTTTCATGAAATCTACATGTGTCTAACACTCTAATATTATAAGGGTTGGAGATGACAATTTTAGGGTCAGTATGAGAGAGATCTTGTGAGTCATATATGTTGAGGGTAGCAGTTTGGCAGAGAGCCCTGCTTCATTATTTTGAGGAATTTTTCTTATAATATTTTTGCATTGCCAAAAATCTACTGGCCCGTCATACCACCAACCTTGCAATAATCACCGGACCGATGCTAAATTTAGTGGCCTCGGGCCTCAGACTGGCGTTAATTTCTAAGACTGTATGTATATATATATTAATATATATAATAAAAAGCTTGCTTTGTTCATTGCAGGTGAAATTGACAGATGCTTAAAAAAGGTTCAAGAAGGAGTGGACACGTTTGAAGACATTTGGCAGAAGGTAAAATGTTGTTCAAATTTTCTTGTAAATGTATAGTTTACAGTTTAAGCCAAGGGGATTGTCAAGTCTCTAATTTATAAACAATAATTTTAGAAAAGATAATTTCTGAAGCATAATTTCTTTTAAAAAATAGTTTTATAATATAAACTAGTATTAATGGAATTATGAAAAAATAATTGGTTTTACCTTACAAATGCTATATCAAAGTATATGACCCTGAAATGAGTTCTGCATAAGAGATCAAATACAGATCGTAACAGATTTTTTATGCCCCCACAATGTGGGAGCATATAGCGTTGCACTTGTCCGTCCGTCCGTCAGTATGTCAGTCCGTCCGTCCGTCAGTCCGTCCGTCCGTACGTCCCGAAATATTGTGAACGCAACTCCTCTTAAACCGGATGGTAGATTTTGCTTAAACTTACAGGGATGAACAACCTTAATGTGTAGATGGTAGTAAAGGAAGGAATTTTCGCTGCGATCAAATTTAACAGAATTATGGCCCTTTGTTGATTTTTTCACTAGATACTATGTAGAAATTTTGTGAACGCAACTCCTCTTAAACCGGATGGCAGATTTTGCTTAAACTTACAGGGATTAACAACCTTAATGTGTAGATGGTAGTAAAGGAAGGAATTTTTGCTGCAACCAAATTTAAGAGAATAATGGCCCTTTGTTGATTTTTTCACTATATACTATGTAGAAATTTTGTGAACGCAACTCCTCTTAAACCGGATGGCAGATTTTGCTTAAACTTACAGGGATGAACAACCTTAAGGTGTAGATGGTAGTGAAGGAAGGAATTTTCACTGCGACCAAATTTTACAGAATTATGGCCCTTTGTTGATTTTTTCACTATATACTATGTAGAAATTTTGTGAATGCAACTCCTCTTAAACCGGATGGCAGATTTTGCTTAAACTTCCATGGATGAACAACCTTAATGTGTAGATGGCAGTAAAGGAAGGAATTTTTGCTGCAACCAAATTTAACAGAATTATGGCCCTTTGTTGATTTTTTCATTATATACTATGTAGAAATTTTGTGAACGCAACTCCTCTTAAACCAGATGGCAGATTTTGCTTAAACTTACAGGGATTAACAACCTTAATGTGTAGATGGTAGTAAAGGATGGAATTTTTGCTGCGACCAAATTTAACAGAATTATGGCCCTTTGTTGATTTTTAGTTTTCACCTTGTGGCACATGTAGTCCAAAAATATTTGACCTAGAGTCATAAGATTGACAGAACAGTGGCGTGTGGGGGCATCCGTGTCCTATGGACACATTTCTAGTTTATGTATTTTTTTCATTCATTTAATGAAATAGGTTTATTATACAGAATCTTTTTTTACAGAGAGAGTGTGTAGCAATTTTCAATATTTTGAAATATCAAATTTGATCATTATATAACTTGAAAGCAGCATGCGTCCAGATTCATCTAAAAATATTTGTCATTGCTTATTTATCCATTTCAAGTCGAAAGCAAGTATCAAAAAGGTGTTGTAGACAATTTTATGTGTTCACTTGTAGTTTTCTCTCTGTTTTTCTTGATTCAAGCAGAAATCAAAAGAATGTTTTTGTTTTCAGTAATCTTACAATGGAAAATACATTATAGACCTTGTGTCATTTCTGCTTATTTCTGCTTATTTAATAAACATTGACCAATTTCAGTATAGATTCATATTCACCACAGGTCAAGTACAAGTTTTTACAGGATTTTTTGAAGAAAATTTTAGACCTTAAGTAATACTAATTAGTCCTTGAAAATAAATCTAAATTTATATCAAAGATTTCTTTAAGAACCCTTTAATCGATAAAGAAGAAATTACACGGTAATTTAATTGGTATTTTATATTCTGCTTGTTTTTAAAATCACAAATGAGATATTATTTAATTTATTTTATTTTTTTTGGGGGGGGGGGGGGGGGGGGGGGGGGGGGGGGGAATGGAATGGTGAGATTGGCCTTTGCCACCTGTATAGAGCCAGGTCAGCTTGCACATTTTCGATTTGTGCAGTGTAACTTAAATTATTTTTTTTTATTCACAAAAATTGATAGTGGACAGTCAGAAAAATAGAAGCTTGACAAGTCAAGTTTAGTAATTCAGCAAATTCAGGGCAAAGCTAATGGAATGGAATGATTGGGGGAAAAAATTACAGACCTGCTTAAGATTCATTGATTTTTCAATATTTGGTTCCTTGTTGAACTGTAGTCGATATTGGCACATACAGATTTATGTTTACTTGAGGCTAAATTTAAGCACCTTACTGATTAAACAGAATTGCTCCTGATTTTATGACTAATAACTGTCATTAATGTATATCTAGGGAAATCAGAGACAATTTGGAAATTCTGGTTAGGTTAATTTGATAGAATTGGATCTTATAGTATGTTAACTCTTGCTTGTATAGCATGTAGTGAATTTCTTTAGTTTATATATTTCTGTTGGGCAAAATTTGCATTGTAACAATTATGCATATTACATGATATGCTCAGTCTTAATATCAGATGAGGTCTTTGGTCATTAATACATTAATCATATATTTTGAAACTGTCACTTTTCTCCTTCGTTCTTGTTGTCATCTAGCTATTGTCAAATGTTTTTGTTTGAAGAACCTTTAACCTCTTCCTTTCTTGCAAGCATTGAATGCTAAGATACATGAGCTTATGTCTGTTTAAAGTCTTCTTTCTAGTTCCCATGTCCCAAATTTATGAGAAAAAGAGAGACATTATTGTATCAAATAGGGTATTGTATCATTGACAAAATGCTTTTTATTTACAGGTATATAGTTCAGCCAATGCTAACCAAAAAGAGAAATATGAAGCAGACCTCAAGAAGGAGATTAAGAAGTTGCAGCGCCAGCGTGATCAGATTAAAACCTGGCTGTCAAGTAGCGACATCAAAGATAAGAGAATTCTTATCGACAACAGAAAATTGATAGAAACTGTAAGACTTTGCTTTTTAGCATAGTTTAAACTTTTAACATACTTAGGTTTTTTGTTTGGTTTTATGGCGCGCTAACACAGTTTAGGTCATATGGTGCCAAAACAGGAAAGATGATTTTGGCTAACCTTGGGTGTTACAAACTTAATAGTTAAATCAACACCAGGGGTCAAAACCACCTCATTTGCTGGAGATAAGCGATGCATAGACTCCTGTAATTCGAAACATGCTTAGGAAGCTAATAATGCAAAGTTTATATCTAATTTGAAAGCACTATAAAGTTTGATGCCTGGAAGTGAACAAACAATACTTATGTCATTATTGTCATATGAGGGCTTATGGTAGGAGTCAAACCCACTGTTTTGGATTTGAGAGGTTAATATACCCTTTTCAGTTGAGACGTTTATACTTTTTTCTCCCAGTTTTATCAAGATCGAGACATATTTGTGGTTCAATGGTTAAACTTTCTTAAATTTTTTAATATTTCTGACACTGTGAAGTTACTAGTGCAAGAGATAAGCAATTGCTATTTAATTGTTGTCTTGTTTCTAAAAGTAAACTGAGCAGCACTGACCTTGACATTCAGCTGAAGGGGACAATGTCCTTTGTATATAGTTCAATGCAATATTGACTTCAGTTGTAAATAGGTCATGTTTGGTATTTAAAATACTTGCCTGAGTATATGACAAATGCTAAAAAATAGTTAAATGATTTTTTATATTTTTTTCAGCAAATGGAGAGATTTAAGGTAGTGGAACGAGAAACAAAAACCAAGGCATATTCAAAAGAAGGTCTTGGAGCAGCATCTAAACTTGATCCTGCAGCTAAAGAAAAACAAGAAGTCACAAACTGGATTTCAGTATGTTTTCTGATTGTTATTTAATTTATTTGCAAGTTTTTAAGAACAAAAAACCTCATAAAAAATCTATGGAATGCATATTAGAATTCCTCAAATACATGTTTGTCACCATTTGATGAAAATAGGTCCTAAAATGATTGGTGTGAAATATATTTTCACAACTACTATAAATTTACTTGTGGTAGAAAGACAGATACAATTGATTTTTCCACCTTAACAGCTACTTGGTCCTATATTTTCTATGTGTAATTGTTGAGTATCAGTGCAAAATATGAATTATAGATTTGCCATGCCGTACCTTGAATTTGGTGTTGTTCATTGTTAATTCAAAGAATTTCATTAACAATAATGTCAATATGCTGAAATGAATCTGATAACATTATAGAGATTGGTTACAATTGATGACTTGGCCATCATTAAATCAATGCTGCTTTAACCATGCACTTCCCATTGAAAATGCTTGTATGGAAAAAAAAATTGTCCTTTTAGTAAGCCAATTTTTAACCCATCTGATATTAATGTTAACATTAATGTTTAAAAAAATGGATGTAAAAACTCAATGGAAAAACAGCTTAATGCATTGAAGTGGTTTCATTAGCAAAACAAAACTGTCAAATGACATAGCAATTCGCTCAAGCATGCGGGAAGCATGGCACAAGCAGTGGTTTTGTATGCAAAATATTGGTATTGAATTACATCTGAAGAAGCCCTTGGACTTATTTAATCCATTGCCCTGCGGGCTTGCGCTTGAAGTGCATCCTTGTGCTTCTGCAGATGTTAATGTGCAAAAAATAGGTGCTTTTCCCACATATTGATGTACATATGAAAATATGTGATGAATTGAAAAAGAGCCCTTTATACTTTCAGCAACAAATAGACTCTCTTAATATTCAGACAGACCATTTTGAGAGCGAAATCGAACAACTTTCTACAGGCAATAAAAAGAAAAAAATGGACAAAGACGTAAGTATGTTTGAAGAATTTCTCGGAAATTTCCATCAATATATTTCCAAGATAATAAACACTATCATGTGCTTATTAGGATGTTTTGTTACACCTATGATAGAAAATTGATCTTCAACAGGATATATCTCTCTAAAATCTAATGTCTAAGATATTCCTTTCTGGTAATTAATGAAAACGATATTTCAATTTTAAAGGAAATGAGAAATTTTCCTAAAAATAGTTACTCTTATTATTATTATTATTTCTTAGTCATATTATGCCTCAGAAGCAATTTTTTTTCTGCTTTAGAAAAGGCAAACATGAGTTTAATAACATTTAGATAATAGTTTTGAGAATGTAAGAGGCTTATCACCTAAGAATTTAGCCCTGGATGTGAAATTATTGGTCATATAAGTAGAACAGTGTAAACAAAGTAGTATTTTGTTTCCCATATAAAATACTATATTACTGTAACTGCTTATTGCCAAAAAGCAACAGAAGCAAATATGATTCAGGTAAAAATTTAGAGCATGGTTAAGAATGTAGCCCTGATTATAAAATTATTTGTCATAAAAGTAGCACAATGTAAACAAAGTAGTATTTTGACATCTATATAAACTACTGTATTACTGTACATGTACTTATTGCCAGAAAAGCAACAAGCAAAATATGGTTCAGGTTATTTGCCAATGAGTAACTTTTTGGAAATTATTTTGGGGTACCAAAAAAAAAAAAATCTTAAGAAAATAAGAAATAAAAGCATTTCTGGGGTATAATGGGCCTTTAAACTGCTGGAACAATAAGTACATATATAGCCTTTGCCGTGAGAACGTTAAAATAATTAGAAATAAAAGATTTTATAAACTTTGTGAAGTGCAAGTTTTAATTTGTTTTAGAAGGGTGATCGCTATGAACATTTAAAAGCGGCCCAAGACAAACACACATATCACATACAAAAACTTGAGACAATAATGAGAATGGTGGATAATGATGCGCTGCCTCTTGAACAGGTAATATATACAATATGGTATCATACAACAATATGTCTAATTTAACATCGGGCTTGATAATTACAATTTTTATGCTCCCCGAAAAATTTCGGGGGAGCATATAGTCGGCGCCTTGTCCGTCTGTCCGTCTGTCTGTCCGTTGTCTTGTCCGGAGCATAACTTGAAAACCCTTGGAGATAATTTGTTGAAACTTCATACAGTGGTAGAGGGCATTGAGGGGGAGTGCAGTGTCAAAGAACCATAACTCTATTTTGCCCGGTTTTTGAATTATCTCCCCTTATAGAAAAATCTTGTCCGGGGCATAACTCTAAAACTATAAGAGATATCAACATGAAACTTTGTAGGTGAATAGATCTCAATGGGTAGATGTGCAGTGCATAAGAACAATAACTCTTTTCATCCTAATTTTGGAGTTATTGCCCTTTGTTAATTTTAATACTTTGAACTTTGTCCGGAGCATAACTTGAAAACCCTTGGAGATAATTTGTTGAAACTTCATACAGTGGTAGAGGGCATTGAGGGGGAGTGCAGTGTCAAAGAACCATAACTCTATTTTGCCCGGTTTTTGAATTATCTCCCCTTATAGAAAAATCTTGTCCGGGGCATAACTCTAAAACTATAAGAGATATCAACATGAAACTTTGTAGGTGAATAGATCTCAATGCGTAGATGTGCAGTGCATAAGAACAATAACTCTTTTTGTCCTAATTGGAGTTATTGCCCTTTGTTTATTTTAATACTTTGAACTTGAACTTTGTCTGGAACATAACTTGAAAACCCTTGGAGATAATTTGTTGAAACTTCATACAGTGGTAGAGGGCATCAAAGGGGAGTGCAGTGTCAAAGAACCATAACTCTATTTTGCCTGGTTTTTGAATTATCTCCCCTTATAGAAAAATCTTGTCCGGGGCATAACTCTAAAACTATAAGAGATATCAACATGAATGATTGTAGGTAGATAGATCTCATTGAGTAGAGGTGCAGTGCAAAAGAACCATAACTCTGTTAAGCCTTATTTTTGAATAATCTCCCCTTTTAGAAAAATCTTATCCAGGACATAGTTGTAAAACTATAAGAGATATCAACATGAAACTTTGTAGGTAGATAAATCTCAATGGGTAGATGTGCAGTGCACAAGAATTATAACTCTACCTTGCCTAATTCTGGAGTTATTGCCCTTTGTTTATTTTTACTTTTTGAATTGTCCAGGACATTACTCGGAAATCATAAGAGATATCATCAAGAAACTTTGTAGGTTGATAGATCACATTGATTAGAAGTGCAGTGCAAAGAACTGTAACTCTGCCTTGCCTAATTTTAGAATTATTGCACTTTGAACTTTTTCCACGGACATAACTCTGAAACTACAAGAGGTGTACTTTCCTGTGTCCAAAACCTATTCGGGGAGCATCACCCGGCTCAAACCGGGCTCTTGTTTTTATTTGCACATATTTTGATATGGCCTTGAAAATTGTTTGTTTTTAATAGCTGACCTAGTTATGTGTTGATATGATAAACCTTAACAAACAGCATTGATGAAAAGTACTCAAAATCAAAACATCTGTTTTATCAAAACAACAGAAGGATCAGCACATAAATATTAAAAGTAAATTTAACTTGAGAAATTGATAGTGTTTCTTTTTTGGGGGCGGGGGAGGGCTGTTTCATTGAATACTTAAAAAAACTTTTTACTGCCAAATATTGGTATTTTATTTTCTGGTTTCCTCGAACTACGTAGATCAGAGTTTAAAAACTAGTATGTCATGGTTTTTAACATGGGTTGCTGGGTCGTGTAGGGGTTGCGTTCATTGAATGCCACCTTTCCTTGTTGATCTTGTTAATCATTTTTTGTACACAGTTATTTTTGTAATTGATAACTAAGTAGAATACATTTAATGTAATGGAACATTTTCCATCAAAATACAGTCTTTAGTGATTTATTTTCAGATATCAGTTATCTTTCTCAGACATAAATTTTATTTTTAAAGAAGTCTATTTATTTTAAAGAGTTATGTCACAAAAGTATGTCTAGACTAGAACAAAGTAGTAATTGTTGTCATGGAAAGAAAATTTATGACTATTAAATATCCATTTCAGATCAAAGGAATCCGAGATGACATAGAATACTATGTGGACTCAAATCAAGACCCCGATTTCGAAGAAAATGAGATGATTTATGATGAATTAGAGTTAGATGATTTAGGTAATTATTTCATATTTTTATCCTAGCTATATAACTGGTGAAATATACTGAAAATAAGTCTGAGATGTATAATCATGTTGTCTTCATATTCTTACTGGCTTATCTGGAGAGAGGTTTTTACAAAATGCCTCTATTTTATTTAGCAGACATAAATTGTATATGATTATACTATAATTTTTATCACCTCAATGTTAAATTGATAAGTAAAAACTTTACATTCTTTAGTAATGAATTGTAAATTTTACATGCTTTAAAGTTTATTTTGAGAATGTCAAATAATTTGTTAAATTTAGATCCAACGTTACATTCGGCGACGTCGCCCCCTCATGACGAAGACCGATTTTCCGACAAATTATCAACAACGCCAACGTCAACAAACTCCAGTTCACCATCACCTAGTCCAGGAATAACGAATCATTCCAAGGTAAGTAAAAACTGTACTTTTTAAAACTTATGAGAACGAGATATAAATGAGTGCTAGTGGTTAGTGGCATTGAAGACTTGCCAATGCTTTAAGAATAGAGCCAGACCTGACTGTACCTATATGCATGCGGTCTTGCTATACTTATTAACTTAATACTGTTGGCTGTTCAGTTTTGTCATTTTGAGATTGAAATCCGTAACACCACTGGTAGACTATTCAAACTTTAAAGCAGGACATGCTTATTAGATTAATGGTTATGCAAAATGGAGAGTGTGTATGTATTTTAAACAGACAGGCCTGTTTGTTATTTTTAGGTAACTTATTGCTGCTTGTTAAACTGTGTTAACCATGTGCCTACAGCTGTTAGATTTGTATTACCTGTAATTATATTTTTCTTACCTGAATTTTTACACAACCATTCCATTTCTTTACAGGATGATGAAAGGAAAAAGCATAAATCTAATGAAGATAATGTAAGTGAATCTTGAATTTAGACAAAAATAACTAAAATGATAATAATAATAATAATAATACTTAGTTCTTCCTTCATCAGTATAGCTTGATTTTATCATATTAAATTGAGTCAGATAAGGTAGTTACAATTGAATTGAGAGCCTCATGCATTGTTTGTATAATATCAATTAACGTTATATTGTAACTGGGAGTTGTCAGTTTTAAGTTTATTATTCTGCTTAAAAACGTTAGGAATTTGCCGATTGAGATTTTCAGCTGTAAATTTACTTAAGACTTGAAGAATGACATATTAAATTTTTAACAATTGCTTCTTCAAAAGAGAACCTTCTGTCCATATAAAAGTATATCTGAATTGTATTTAATACTTGTTTAATTGTGATTTTCCAGAGAAACAAAAATAACAGTGCAACATCATCGTCATCATCATCATCGGTCAGCTCGTCAAGTAAACTACCAAATACACCTACAAAAATGTGAGTATTTATAGGAAAAAAAACACGCACTGAGCAATGTCTAGGTCGTTTTCTTGATTTGATAAAAAAAATTGGAAAACTTGGTGACTAAGTCACTAAATACACATTGTGTGATAGTTGTTGTACTAATTGGTAATGAAAATTGGATCCTTATTGGTACTGAAAATTGGATCAATGATACATGGTCATATTTGATGAAGTTTATTTAGCATATAGATAAATTAGAAAAAGTAATGATATTTATGTTATTAATATGTTGTTTTATTTTGCTTCATGACAAAAAAAAATCTAAATACAGCTGTTTTGTAGTTAAAACCACTTTTAAGAAACTAACAATTTCAGAACTATTCCAAAACCTATCAAAAACTGTAAATTAAAAAAAAAAAGTATAACATGCCAGTTGGCAGACCACCATTTGAACTTTTTTCATGTAGCATATTGTCATCAATTTGAACGAAACATATGATGGTTCTCCTTTATGAAGTTTTTATATTATTTTTTTTTGTCCAATTACAAATCCAAATGGGGACAAAAATGTTTTTGAACATAAAATCATAGTAAATTTAATCTTCGTTGTTTAAGCTGCATATGCAAAATTTTTTTTTGAAATGTTCTATTTATAAAGTTTTTTCTCTTTTCCTTAGTAACAAGTAGGCCGAATGGGTTAGGCGCCAAAATTTAGTATACTGTATCTATGTTATTTAATTATGCATGTGCCACAGTGATAAAAATTACATTATCTAACATAGAAATGAATTTAAACTTACTTGTTACGCTAATGATTCAATCTCTTTTTCATTATTTTCATAGCAACAGCTATGACTATATTTTCAGCAATCCACCCCTCAACTGTATAGAAAATAGTAATCACTTGCCAAATGCAACTCCGCCCACTCATGGCTGGTTAGACGGACAAAATAGTAATTCAGGTATTGTATACAGTCAGTATTACAGTAAGCACGTAACAAGACACTTATAACCACTTGGTGTAGGGTGTCCTCCGCTAGATATACAGATATGGTCGCTATTGCTTTACTGTTAGACCTTTAGCAGGTATCCAACACACACTTTGTATGATATATAAGGGGCTTTACAAATATTTGTTTTAAATGTACATTTTAAAAAACAAATTTTATTATGGAAGCTTTATTATGGAAGCTTTGTCTATTAAGAGATATAGAATTAAAACTCAGAAATCTAATATCAATGTGAATGGATAGAGAATTTTGAAATAACTTAGCATAAATGTTTGGTGCGATGAAACTTCGTTTTACTTAAGAATTAATGTAGCCAATAATAATTGTCAAGATCACATAATCTCAAATGCTGGTCTGACACAGCATGTCTGAATCATTATTTTGTCTGTGAAAGAAGCATATTAAAATAACAGAACATGAAAGTTATATAAGATGAAATATCACGGTATGAAAATAGTCATTTTCAGTTATTTTAAGATCGAACAGTGTCATAATTTCTCTTAAATACTCTAAACAACTTTTTTATAGGTATAAAAAAGGAACGGTACTATTTTGAGGTGTTCCTTGACATTTTTCATTGTGAATTAATGTTTTTGCCAAACCTTAGTTTTTTCAACAATGAAATGCTATAATGTAATTTGCTTGTAAAATAAGTTGAGATATCAAGTGTTAATGTCATATTTTGATGATAGTAACATATACTTATGATGTGTTGGTTACCTGCCAGTTCTCTTTATTATTTTTCAGTTTCTATTTTTCTTTAAATACCAGTAGATCATTTTGATGTGTAAAAAAATGTAGTTTGGTAGCATGTAAAACGGGTTTTGTTTCATTGAAATATTATATTCTGAATGACATGTATTTATAATTGGATTTTAAATACCAGAGTAAAACAAAAACTTATAAGTTATTTTCAAAGAAAATACTGATAGGAAAGCTTTTAAAGTTGTTGTAACATTTTATCACAGATTAAGCAGGTGCTTTTAATAAGAAACTGTTTGTACTCACTTGCATGCTCTAGTTAATTAATCAGAATATTGTCTATCTCTGTATATAATGTTTCAGGGAGTAGTTCCAAGTTGTTCATGTCCTTACTATATCTTACCACGTACCTTTGTAGATATACAGTTTGTCCAACTTTTTATGGAATTATTGATGTATTAAACATGATTGGGTCACATTTCCCCTTTACCATTAAGCGATCTGGTTAAGAAATTTTAAGATTAGCACAAGAGTTAAACCAAAAAAATTAAGAAAATAAATAATAAAAAGCTTCAAGGGACTGTTTCTTTCAAAAATTTGCAATAAAAGATTTTTAAAAGTGTGACTGTTGTCAGGCAGGTTTTGAAAATAAAAAGCTATTTTTATGTAAAAAGAGAGGTGACCCAAATATAGGGCAAGCAAAAACTTGAGAGCAGGTAACAGCTTGGACTATCTCCCTTGAAACTGGTGTACAACCTATGTATCTACTGTTATATTTTAGGTTCCCCTATATCTTCACGAATACAAAATAATGTGCCACCCTCTGTATGGCAGCGCACCCCTTCCTCCACAGCTGCTATGACAATGAGGCAACTTAACTTTAGCGAATTATCCTCTCCGACTAGCGGTAAGACACCTAGTGCATGACTTACTCCTGTCTTCCATTTCTCATACCATCATGCATTATCTACCCCTGTTTTCCTTCCTCTTTCTCCATGTAGTTTATTTTGTTTCATTCCCCCCCAGGGCTTCTTTTGGTTTTTTTTGCGTTGTTTTTTTTAAGTGTTATATAGTTTACAGAAGAGCAAATGACATTGTGGAGTTTTTCAGCTTAAGACTTACATATATAAATAACAAACTGTTGTGAAAGTGTCTAACTGGGTATAAAGCTATATCAAAGGAAACATTTTTATAAAATTAATAGTCATAATATTTTATTTGTCCATTATTTATAAAAAGGTGTGTTAAAAGACTGGTGAAACTCTTCTTGAGTACTTTGTCAGACTTACTAATGCTGTGTTATTTTCTGTCTAGAATATTCAATAAGATTTTCCTTAATTTCTAAATTTGACAGAAAAATTTGTGCTATACTAGTTTAGTGACTTTCTAAAGCTGGTTATTTCCATTATTGTAGTACTTGTGTTTAACTTTCGAACACTGTTGAAAGGGTTGTCTTCATCTGTAATGACTGTGATGTCACAAACTAAGTAAATGACACTAATGTCGTCATCATGACTATAGTTATAATGTCAGTTTGATTTTTATGTTACTGTCAGAGTATGAAATTTAGTTCCAACACAACTGAACTAAATGTTCAAAGTGAAGCATATCAGCAAATAATAATTGCTCACAAATATGAATTAAGCATGAGCTAAAAGTGTATAAAGCTATATCTGATGAAATACACTATATAGAAATTTAAAAACAGTAAATTCATGTTATTTTCATTACCAAATGGTCGTTTCTTGAAAGATTTGTGACGTAAAATGTCTTTGTAATTTAATGTATATGACATGTAAGTTCACAGACTAAGGTGTTCTGGAATAAAATATTACCCTGCTGTTTTAGTAGATTTGTCGAAGATTTCGATCATGCTCTCAATCACTTTCAATAAATATTTTGACAAATTTCTTTCATTCTAGGTATTTTGGAATCATTTTAATCACAGCAAATATATATAGCTTTATACACTTTAACATTTTATATATAAAAAAAATAGTACTACAAGGGAAGTTGTTCAGCTTATTATACTTTGTGCTAGCTTATCGTGGGAATACATTGCATGAGCCTTAAACTACCGCACATTAATACATGTCTGCAATAACAATTCCATGTTAATTTTACATCATCTTAAGGGCCTCTATGGCATAGTGGTAAAAGTCACAGACTTCAAGTCATTTAGCCCTTTAATATGTAGACTTGGATCCATATACCATAATTATGAACATTTTATTATACCATTTGCTGGTATAAGGATGATGGTGGTTCTATCTAGTGTCTTGATGTCAGTATTAGGAATGGTGCCAAATGTCCTGTACTGTGCCAGTGTGGACTAAATTTCCTAAGAACAAAGAAGTAACTTAAACCTTAACCTGCTGAATTTGTGTAATGGATTTCCCCTTCATTGGATTTCAATATCAAAATACAAAAAAAAACAGCTACCAAAACTATAGAAATTGGTCAGACTGCACAGCTGCACAGGCTGGCATGTGGTAAATTACTTTCGGTTCCAGCAAGTAAAGGGTTCATAATCTGCATACTATAGCAGGGCTTTTTGTTTGAAAAAAATGTCACATACATATGTTTTTTTATGTCTTTAACATGTACTTAAGAAAATCATATTTGAAGTCAGCTTTGCTGAGGCACTGTTGTTTATTTAAAAATTTACACCAATTTAATTTCTGCTCTCTGATGAAATCTTCAATATCTTTTCTACAGTCCCATAATTTGAATTGAATGATTTGATTATAACATTTTATATTAAATTACTTTTATTACATATATTTCCTAGTTATTTGTTTTAGAAAAGATTTTTGATAACTGTTCGAGCAAGTTGGTTTGAATAGTATGTAAACAATTTCCGTTCAAGTTGAAATCGCAACAGGAAATAAGAACAATATCAATCTTGTTATATATATATATTACTAGTATGTGTGATGCACTTGACCTTGAGTCATTGTTTGTAAGTCTTAACACAATGTTGATGTACCAGTCTGTCTCTATATATATATATCTGAGGGTTAGTCATTGTTATATAGGTTTTTCCTAACAGTTAATGTATGTGTGTATCCTATACGGGCTTGTTATTAACGGGATGTTTTGTTTTACGTTCACAGATACTACAAAGAGCCAATCAAATTCATTAACAAATCATGTATCAGGACTTTCAAGCAGTGTGTCTAGCAGTGTGTTAGTGAACAGTATAACATCATCAATAAACACTTCAGTGAACTCTGTCTCACCAAACAGTGTAGGAAATCCCTCCATCCTGCCCCACGGGGCATTGCCAATGCTCAACAATGGGCATGGCAAGGAATCGGTTTCGCCTCCGATGTTGTCATCACCAGTATCGTCTAGTGCAGTAAACAGCAACAACAATAGTTTAATCACTTCATTATCATCATCGTTATCATCGACGCTACCCTCATCTCAGGCAAACGCAATGAACAGTTTGAGTACAAGTAAGACGGAAATATTGCCAGGTGTAATGAACGGACCTTTAAGTGCTGGAGGAGTTTTACATAAGGTAAGCTTATGAATATATAGTACAGTGAACCACTCAGGAAATTTATTAGCAGATGTCCACTGGTGCCTGAAATAATGGCAGAGCCTTCTGAGGTCACCTGAGATCTTCCCCATGAGTAAAGCTAAGGTAATTCTAAAAGGTGCCTACTTGTGCCCGAAATGGTGTGAGAGGCCTTCTGAGCCATCTTTAAAGCTGAAAAGTCACCATACTTCTTTAAGTTTTACAGTCTGCTTGTGACATGATTGTCATAACTTGTGTGTTGTCTTGATAATGATTTTGAAAACAGATTTTCTTTCCTTTGATTTTTATGCACTTGGCAGATGGCATATTGTTTTAGTTCGTATAACTGTCTCTCCCAAATTTTAACCTGATCCATAACACAAAGTCCTTTTAAACCTCCTAATCACCTTGATGAGCTCTTATTGCCAGACCTACTTAGAGGACAAAGGTCAAGGTCACCATAATGCACCTACACATGTTTAATCATTATTTTTTCATAAGGAAAATTGTTTTGTGCAGGAAAAGGTGAAGGTCATTTAAATGATAGAAATTGGAAGTTTGCTTGTGTTAAATGACAACTAAAATAGTTTGGGATTCTGTAGATTAGATTACCCATATGTTATTAATACATGTATATTTCATTTTAAAATAAGGTAAAGCTTCTGCTTGCAAACTTTTCAGTTGCAAACTTTTCGGGATGGTTTTTGATTTTGATCATTCACTTTCATAATTACAACTCTATTACATTGAAACTTAATATGTAAATGATAAGTTTAACCCGACACACCAATTTTCAGAAAAAAAGTTAGTCACCAATCCTGTAATAACAAATCATAAAATTTAAAACTGGTGATTAAATTGAAGTGCTCAGAATGCAACTTGAGTTCTACCTGCCACACCTATTTTCAGGTCAGTAGGTCAAGGTTACTGAGACTTACAATAAGAAAACATAAATTTGGCCATTAAATCTAAGTGTATTGACTGACTAAGTTTATTGACTGAAGAACTTCAAACTTTTTATGTAGATGCACCTTGATTAGTCTTAACCCCATACTCATTTTGGGGTCAAAATGACATTCTAATAATCTCCATTAGATAAATTGCAGTTTACTATCTAGTACTTAGAAAATTTGAGTGTGTTGCTCCTCCCGACAGCTCTTGTTGGAAGGAGCTCTTGTCGGAAGGGGCCCTTTCCCATGAAAAATCATTTTATTTTTGTGATAAATTGGAAATTGGAAAACAAACAATTTCATGAAATGGAATTGTCCTGTTAAATATAATAATCTAAAGAAAGAACGGAAGAAACACCAAGTCACCTTTTCTCGTGTTGAAAGTTTACTGCTGTTGGGACAACATTCTCAGAATGTTCAGTTGATGGAACTAAGAATGATGATACAGAGGGTAACTTTTAATTGTTTTAAAGTCAGACTCCTGCATTTTGAACTTAATTAATTGTTAATGTATGCTCAAAAACTGGCAAATTTTGTTCAATCTGCTATTTTTCCAGTTTTGATTTTAAGCTTACCTGAGCTTGCTCAGGGTGAGCTTTAAGGATCGTTTAATGTCCCTTGTAGGTCATTCGTTGTCCATCCACATTTGTTCGTAAATACTCTAGTCTCTAGCAGTCACATTTATTTTTGCCTCAATCATCATCAAACTTGTCTAGGATTCTTGTCTAGGTAATTGTTCTGATGAGTTCAAACATAGGTCATCTCGTACGAAAAACTAAGTCAAAGGAGCCAAAAACAGAAAAATCTTGTTTTGCACTCTAGTGGCTACTGTTTTGATCCAAATATCCTGGTCTGAAAGTTTGTTATGATGATTTCTAGGTCAAGTTCGAATATGGGTCACCTTGGGTCAAAAACTAGGTCACACTGCCCAAATATGGATAAAACCTTGTTAGCACTCCAGTGGTAACATTTTTAGCTCAATTGTCATCAAACATGATCAGGATGCTTGTCTAGGTACTTGCTCCGATGAGTTTGAGCATAGGTCATCTCGGATGAAAAACTAGGTCACTGGAGCAAAAAATAGAAAAATCTTGTGAACACTCTAGTTGCTACTGTTTTGATCCAAATATCCAGGAAATTGGTCTGAAAGTTTGTTTTGATGATTTCTAGGTCAAGTTTGAATATAGGTCACCTGGGGTCAAAAAATAGGTCTTACTGCTCAAATATGGAAAAACCTTGTAAACACTCTAGTGGTCACATTTTTGACTCGACTGTCATGAAACTTGGTCAGGATGTTTGTGTAAGTAGTTACTCAGATATGTTTGATGGGTCAGGTGAGCGATCTAGGGCCATCTTTGCCCTCTTGTATGAGATTTGAGAGCAAGTAAGCAAGTCATGCAGTCATGATATAGTAGTGAGTACAATATAAAATTCTATTTGATTAGTACACAGCTGTGAAACCTATATTGGAGGCATGAGGCATAAGTTTTGTTCAATGCATATTTTGCAGATGTGTAAGAGTCCATAGACAAACAGTGTTTTATTAATGAAGGATGACCTTTTTCTTTTATAACAACAATGTTTAACATTGTGACATAATTTTCTTTCCTTGAATACAATATGGATTTGATATTATTTTTATACCCCCGCACAACAAAGTTGTAAGGGGGGTATACTGGAATCAGATTATCCGTCCGTCCGTCGGTTTTTTCTTGTCCGCCCAATAACTAAAGATTCCTGTGACCCACAGTCTTCATATTTGGCATGGAGGTTAGTCGTGATTAGTAAATGACCCCTATCGATTTTGAGGTCACCAGGTCAAAGGTCAAGGTCGCAGGGGCCTTGACTTCAAAAAGCTTGTCCGCCCAATAACTTAAGATTCCTTTGACCCACAGTCTTCATATTTGGCATGGAGGTTAGTCATGATAAGTAGATGACCCCTATCGATTTTGAGGTCACCAGGTCAAAGGTCAAGGTCACAGGGGCCTTGACATCAAAAAGCTTTTCCGCCCAATAACTTAAGATTCCTATGACCCACAGTCTTCATATTTGGCATGGAGGTTAGTTGTGATAAGTAGATGACCCCTATTGATTTTGAGGTCACTAGGTCAAAGGTCAAGGTCACAGGGGCCTTGACATCAAAAAGCTTTTCCACCCAATAACTTAAGATTCCTATGACCCACAGTCTTCATATTTGGCATGGAGGTTAGTCGTGATTAGTAGATGACCCCTATCGATTTTGAGGTCACCAGGCAAAAGGTCAAGGCCACGGGGGCCTTGACTTCGAAAAGCTTGTCCGCCCAATAACTTAAGATTCCTTTGACCCACAGTCTTCATATTTGGCATGGAGGTTAGTCATGATTAGTAGATGACCCCTATTGATTTGAGGTCACCAGGTCAAAGGTCAAGGTCACAGGGGCCTTGACTTCAAAAAGCTTGTCCGCCCAATAACTTAAGGTTCCTATGACCCACAGTCTTCATATTTGGCATGGAGGTTAGTCATGATTAGTAAATGATCCGTATTGATTTTGAGGTCACTGGGTCAAAGGTCACAGGGACCTTGTCAAAATAAAGCTTTCCACCTCAATTGCTTCAGAATGCCTGTCCAGAGTGTATTGATTTTGACATTTTCACATTTGAAGCATGTAGAATACATAACTTAGCAATGCACTGGCTTAGTAACCTCAGATTTGGCAGGGAGGTTGTCCTTGAGTTCTAAATGGCCACTGTTGATTCTGACAAAGTGGTATGCGGGGTATTCACGCCATGATAGTGGCAGTTCTTGTTTTTTTTTGTACTTGGAAGAAAGAAAATAAGGCTAGTTTGAGTACAATAGTGCTTTGATGGGAATTGTTTGGTCTCAGAAAAAGGAAAATGATGCTAAGATTGGAGCCAAAAATGATTTATGGTTAGAGATCACATGATTGGTTTCATTTAATAAGGTATGAAATAAAGTTATCAATGATTTCTCTTGTTAATAGAAATGTTCTTCATTCAGGATGTGTTATCAGAAGAAATGTCATCCTTAAAATCAATCGCACAGCAGGCTGTGATGAACGCAGGTCTTGAAGACCAAATACCATCATCTACAGACTCAACGTCATCCGACACAAAAGGTAACATTCAACCCCAAATGTTATACATTACTTGAGTTAGGCTGCACAACTCGATCATGAGCCTAAAAAGTGATTGACAACAATGTTAGTCTGCTTGATTATTTCAGTATGGAGTGTGATAGGTTTTTGTATCTGAGCTTTGTGAGCTCTTTACCAGGCATATGCAGACTTTTACATGATACTTGTTTTGAAAACATGTATGAAAGTTTCTGTTAAAAATATTTATACACAATAGAATCAACATAAATAATAATAATAACACCAGGCACTTAAGATTTTTAATAAAAAAATTTCCTTTGATTACATGCATTGTCAGACAGTCTTTTTGGCCCTTTCCAAAAGTCTGCCTATATTTTTCAAAGACAATATACTTGGTGACAATATGACTTGATACCATATGTAGTAACTTTATATCTGTTTATCTTGTAGTGCCATTCAACAGTTCAGTGTCGCAGTTGTCACCTCAACCGAGTCCCGGTTCTCAGGACGGAAGTTTATCAAGTCAACCTTTGCCACAGACCACGACGATACACCTCAATCGGTTACTTGGTGTGGCGCCGCTTGGTCCCGTTCCTCTAGTGAAAGAACATGTATATCAGCTTACCATGGGAGAGGCAGCATTCCATCACCTGCCACATCCGTCAGATTCTGAAAGATTACGGTAAGTTTAGTAAAGAGATAACTTATTGACAAATGCTGTAAATTGATATTCTTGACTTTATTCATTTTGAACAACTTGCCTCTCACTGCTGTTGATTTGAAACCTGTCAGAAACTTTTGATATCTTTATGTCAGGAGCTATCCAGCTAGTGAAAAGGACATTTGTGGTTCTACTCATGTGCCCACTTGTGCCTGAAAAATTTTGAGTAATGAACTGAAAACATTGGAAATATTCTTATATAAAATCTGGATCAAATTGCTGAGATTATTGTAATTAATTTTTAATATAATCATGCTCACGGGATTGATCAGATTGTTTCCAATTGTTTAATAGACTATGTTGTATATTTTCAGGCACTATTTGCCGAGAAACCCGTGTCCCACACCACCGTATTATCCTCAGTTACCTCCACCACATGCAGATTCAGTGGAATTCTTTCAAAGATTATCAACTGAAACTCTGTTTTTTATCTTTTATTATATGGAGGTAAGTAAAAACTTGAACAATAACATCGGATTAGTTAACTTTATGCTTTTAAATTAGCAGGAAGTATGACGCTGTTTGTAGCTGGTTGTTATATGATATCTACTTTATCTAGTGTTGTTGAGTCATGTACTGAAATGGCTTTATGGTAAAACTCATCTTGTTTAATGCCCACTAATTACTGTGGGTTTAAATTAAGTTTTGTCAATTTCATAATTGCACCTGTGGAAGCTGTCAAGTAAGCTTACTGGAGGTAGTTGTTCCTACTTGTTTCTAAAATTAAGCTCATAGACACTTCTGATTGACTTTTAAAGGTAAAGCTTAAAAACAATATTACTGGAACATTTTTGCTTGCAACTTGGAAAAACTTAATGAAGCAGATCAGCTAAATATATATCTGATTCCATAATACTTACAGGTACACCAATAAATGTATATAAAATTTAAGAGTTAGTAAATGAAATTTAATATTCCAGGGTACCAAGGCTCAATATTTGGCAGCAAAAGCATTGAAAAAACAGTCATGGCGATTTCATACTAAATATATGATGTGGTTTCAACGACATGAAGAACCAAAGACAATAAATGAAGATTATGAACAGGTATTTGTGGCATTTACTTCATTTTTAAACTGATCAATTATATTATTATAAGAAAAATGCCTCTTCTATGACACAGAAAACCCAGTTTAAGTGAGATTTTTGGCTTATTTTTTACACATGCATGATTTAAGCACAAGAATGGCATTGTGTAATTATTTCTGACTCGATAGGACAGCTTTTCTATTTATCTGTAGCATCAGTTTTTGCACTGAATTGATGGGTGACATTTTTTAGAGAAATCTGAACAGAAATCAGAGACAAGTCTGAACAGAATTAAATGAAAATCTGTTAAGTGTTTTCCTTAAATATATCTCATATCATTTTTTTCTAACTTCATTTTTGTATTTTAAAAAAAAATTAAAAAATACATGCGTACTTCATGCTTATTTCCATTGTTTTAAGGGACACAATTTTTAATAAATTCTTAAATCAACAAGTTTGCAAATTTGTTTCTGTTGGCAAATTGAATAAATTTCGTTTTCTTTTTCAGGGCACATATATTTATTTTGACTATGAGAAATGGGGCCAAAGGAAAAAGGAAGGGTTTACATTTGAATACCGGTATTTGGAAGATCGGGACTTGAATTGACTAAAAGATCTATATAGGCACTATGAGTGCCAACCTACAAAATTGAAAAGTGTTATCACTGCTGGGTGACACTTGGTGTGATTGACGGCAGGGAGACATGGTTACCATAGTGATCTACACACACACCTGCATTCTATTTGTGCTCACATTTTTGTTCTGTTGTCATGGGAATTATCCATCCCAACCAATCAGTGTGCTTGACTTGATACTGTGATCTGAGTTGTGAAAAAGCTTGAATTCTTGACCTTTTTAAATTGAATCACGGCTAGAATTGAAGCCTTTACAAAACCATGGTGTTATATGGGGGAAATAAAAGACGTATTTTTAACTTCAGTGGATTTTAAACATTAGGGAACAATATGGCAACAGTGACCTTCTAATACATAAAAGTTAGTCATCTGAATTGGGCACTGGTTTGAAGTTTGACTAGATGCTCCATTGTTTGTGACGGCACTTACTGTGCGATATTTAATGAACATATAGAATCTCAAGTGCCTTGCTCATATTTTCACTGTTGGCTAAAACTGAGCAAGAACCTGTTTGCTCCAGGATAACTTTACTGATAATAACAAATCAAAAGAAATACTCTAGATCTTCTTGCATATGACACTTCTTTTTGGTATTTTTTTCCCTTTTTTGTTTTGTTTAAATTTTTTTTTTACCTCAAATGATTGCCAAAAATAATGTCACGAGAAATATTTTGTTCATCATTCAAAAGCTATCAATGCTGTTGTTATTTCATAGACGCCCATTGTGTTGGTCAAATAGTACATTATGGCTAAGTCTTTAAATCACCAGAGCTACTTTTGCCAGACAGGATCGAGTTGTGTGAATTGAGTGTTTTTCAAAGAGGAGAGGAATATAAATTACGATCCACATTCTACTGAAATTTTTTCGTGTCGAGTAGACGTGATAACATTTTGTGTAAAAAAACCGGGAAAGCATTTATTCATACAACGTGGAGGCTTGAATGGCATGATCTCAATAAAGGAAACTCTGGTCCGAGACAACTCATCTACTAACAGTATTTTATACAGTGTTGAAGTGTGACTGATAATTGTGTTAGCTGACGAAATATATATACGAAGGTGTATGCTTTTCATGACGTACTGCAGAGACTGTCTCTGTCAAGGAGAGACTATCATTTAATATTGCATAAATAACCGGTTATCAAAAATAGTGCTGCCAGAATGGGAACCAGCATTCAGAGAACTATCTATATATTAAATATATACAGATAATGTATGTTAGACCTATTTTAGAAGTACTCCAGCTACAAAATCTAGTCCTGTTCTACTCTTCCCCCAACCCTACTTCTATATAATTATTATATAATAAACTTGTTCAGTTTGTTTCTGTTCACATGTCATGTGTAATTGTTTCAAGATTGTGATAGGGTAAAACCTCTCTGGTAGATTTTGTTAAGTTTATATTGCCAGCAATATTTTATTTTGTCAGTAAGCAACCTGAGTAACTGTTGTCTAACACAACCAAAATGGATCTTTTTTTAATTGAACGTTGTTACTTGAAATACTACAAAATGTTGTTTTTTTGTTTTTTTTAGTGATATATCTGGAAAAAAAATTCTTTTAATTCTTTTTTTTTTACGATGATGACTTAGCAAAGATTGTAAAAGAATTGACAGAAGTTAGTGTTGCTAATGAACAAAGTATGAACTATTTAGAAGTGTTATAGAAGTAGGTCAGAAAGAATCTGAATATTCGGATATTTCCAGTTATTTACCATCGTAAAATGCATTTTTTATTCCAAGTGCAATAAAAGCATGGCTATTATTTCTCATCAATCCATTTGAATCACACGAATAACTTGGAAATATCTGAACGTTTTGTTCCCGAAGGAATATCTGTAGCTAGTCATGGAATAGCGCCTATGATTCTTCTGTCACCTCCGTTGACAGTTTAATTGTTTATAAATACCTTTGTAATGACATTATAATTATGTTGACAGTGCAGACAAAAATGTATATGAACTTGTTACTATAGTTTCTGTTAACGTAAACTGTTGACCAAGATTGCTATGCAAATTGCGTTTTATTCAGCAGTAAATGAGGGAATATCTTTGAAAATTAATATCTTTGAAAATTTTATTTATAAATTGTCTTCATTAGAACAAGAAAATGAAAGGTTTTTTTATATTGTCATATTGTTGTCTTTTTTTTTCTTCAGGGTATTCTGATTGTAGATTTTTGATATTTGTAGTTGAAACTTTCATGACAGTCTATTTTGCTTTACTCTTGATAAGTTCATGACCTGTTAACTGGGATATTTTTCCATGTCGTTTTCCTGTCATGTGATAAATCAAACCAAACCTTTTTTCCCCTTTGTTCTTGTTTCAATTGCAGCTTCACACCAAAACCTGTAAGTCACGAGACAAGAAAATAAAATCATGGGCCTGAGAAAAAATACAGTCTATATTTTTAAACCTCTTCACCTACTATATTTGTGGAATGGTGCTTTGAATTTGGAACAAACCATTTTGAAAATTTAGGGACTTCAATATTTAAATACAAAAATTGAGCTAACAATAGTATAGAGCAGTGATGTTCAGACTGGCCTGACACTGTAAGGCTAGCCTAGGCTAACCACATGGTTCCAGCAGGTTTTGGGTTAGGCTACTAATAAGTACATTTAAAGATATATAATTTAGTGATTCTGTAACTTATGCAGTTTCAGAGTCAGACTTTACAAAAATGTATAAAATTCACATGTACACGATTAAAATTGCCAAAAACTTCCTTTAATGTGGATAAAGCTATAATGGGGAAAAATAATTGTACTACGACGGAAATCATCTCAAAATAACGTGGTAAAAAAATAATTAATGAAAAATTCAGATAAAACTGGATGTGTATGTGTAAAATCATTGCTAAATTACTAAAACATGCTATGCTGTAGGATATACAAATAAGCAAACATTTACAATTCATGTGCTTATTCTTTTTTCTAAACACTATTTGAAAATGTGATTTTTGCCAGCTTTTGAAAAATTATTTTGGATATTTCACTAGTTTATAGCTCTATACCCTATAGCTTATTCACAATGCAGATATTACTTGTAATTGAAGATAGAAGATGGGGGTGGGTGTTAGGGGGAGTAATGAATAATAATAACATTGGTATAAATTTTGAGGTGTTTTAAATCTCTACAATATAAGAAAATGGATACCTCATAGGAAAGAATGATTAGGGAGATGTAAATGTAGCGGGTCCCTGTATAATTGGTAATTATTGGTGCTCAAAACTTTGAGACTTGAAGTTTATATGATGATATGGCAGAGTGTACTTTGTACATTTTAGATTTTATATATTTAACACCCTGTTATATTATTGTATTTACTGAAGTCTCTAGGTTGATGTGAAAATGATTGACAGTCAAAAGATCTGATATTTTCTCCCCTCTGTCTCTTTACCCTGCTGAATGATTCTTGAACCCTTTCTTACCATGTTAAATTTACAAAAATGGACTTGCTTTGTGTTTAAATTGGAATTATCCATTGTTAAAACCATAGCCTGCTGATTTACATAAATGGACTTGTCCAGTTTCTATTTTTGGAATTGTCTGTTTTCAATTTCGGGGATATTAAGATGAGACTCTGAAGCTAATTAACCAACAATAAAAGAGCCAGGGCAGGCTACACTGAGGTGCAGGCTGGCCCGGCACGAGACCAGTGGCAAAGGCTAATCTCGTTTTGGATTCAGAAAGTTAAGGGTTAAATTTGGAAGTCTCCATTGTTAATATGAGTGTATTTATATCAAAGTGCTAATTAAATCTGGCAGTGGACAGTATTAGAGTCCAGTAAGATTTCATGGGGGGTTGTAGGCTTGCTAGGCTTAATACTTGCGACAAGGGCAAGTTTCTACAGTAGTTATTTGGTATTCAAGGAACATCTTTATATTCAATTTCTCCTTCCAATCCTGTTTTTGCCTGTACAATTACCCAAGTGTGAAGTCATCCCCACATTTGCTTATATCTTGATTTTTGAGGGACTTTTGTCGAGTACAAAAAAAACGAAAATCGGTGTACCAACACTTTAATAGAAAAGAATGAGAAAGATCTTTTTCTTACTCTTGTTTTTTTCTTTCCTCAAGTTTTATTGTAATGTATTGATATATGAGATTTGTCAAGGTGCTTCTGGTTTTAATGTTACATATATATATATATATATAATTATATATATACTAGACATGAAGACTAGAACTGTATATGAGGGAATTAATAATCATCAACACTGTATAACAAATATATGGCCTTTATGAACATGTGATTTGATACAATGTGCAATAATGCAAATTATCAATGTTTTGATAGATTTTTGTACAGATGTAGAGAATATTTGTATTGATAATATTTGTGGAAAATATTCCAATTGTTAAATAGATAAAATAACGAGTGCTTTATTGTAAAATATTTTTTAAAAAAGATGAAATGAGTTAAAAATATGAACCGATATATTTTCATGAGCAATTCAAGGCTTCCATATATATCCAAGTAGTAAACATTCCAATGTGTGACGATAATTGACGCAAGAGCTTCTAGAATATTTTTTTTTTTTGAACTTGGTAGCTTTAATTCATTGTTTTCCTCGAAGTTCTTCTATTATTGTTGCTGACTGAAATATTTCGTACACACTATGTATTTTTCTTCTTCTCTAATTATTATTTTTTTGTCTATTGTATTGAGCTTACAAACATAATGGAGCATTTAGCCATATGGTTAAACATAACATGTGTGAAGTAGATCACGTTTCAGGGGAAATTAATCTTGTTCTCTCTTGTCATTGTTAAAGTTGTGATAATACTTTGTAAGACATTTTTGGAGCTTTTTCAGCAGAAACCAGGGGAGACAACTCTGTGTATGATGAGTGTATTTATTTGACTTACCATGTAAGAGTTGTCTCTCCTCGTTCTGTTAGCTCAACTCAAAACTGTTGGTTTTTAGTCTATACAGATTGTATTAGATGATTGTGTATGCGATTGTGACTGTCCTATTTTTGTACAGCATATCTTGTGATACCCGGGTGTTCGCCTCTGGCACGGCTCAGAGCTGTGGTAGACTGCTCTGCCATTACGCTGATTACCTTGTACATATATGACTGGGGGCCAAAGCACAAGGGTGATCAGACCATGCTGCAAACAAAGACAAAAATAAAAAAAATGATTTTGTCAACACTGTTGTTTTCTTTTTATCGTCATACTGAATCTTGATTTAACAAATTTGTTTTTGATATGGTTTTGTATATACCTTAGTATAATAGATTCTTTTACAGTCAATGGTAAGTTTATGCATATATTTATAGCTTGATAATGATGAAAAGATGAGCGCTTCTTGTAACCATACACTAGGCAGGTTCCTCGAATAAGCTATGAGGAAACATGGTCATGATATCAGTAGAGCTCGAGCCCATGATACCTGGATTGAGAGGCAGACACCTTTACCAATAGTCAATCTATCCATACAGCCAATAATAAATAAACTGATTGAGGAAATAACTTGGGCTTTGGGTACCAGTATCAATTTAATATGACCAAAAACTTTAAAAAAGATCAGACAATAGCCTATGCAGTTCATTGATTTTTGATATGAAATGATGTCAATTCCTGTACTGAAATATACAGGATCAGGCGAAATTCGCTGATTTCAACCTTTTTCTCAAGTACAAAAAATGTAATTTAAAGTACTCTTTCAAATGACGTATTCATTAATATTACTGCAAAATATCACACATTGTATAGAAAATTGGCATAAGTAAAATGATATTTCCAAGCTGTCCTAAAGAAATCGTATATCAAAATTGTTTTTACTGTCCCTGATTAAGAGATACAAAGATACAGTTTGGGGAAAATATCTGCACTTTATTGCCTATTAATTTTAACAACCTCTCCGGTGCCTTGTTCTCATATCTACAATGAAATGCACTTCTAATTAATGGGTTATTATGGTATATTTATTGGTGGATTTGACACTCAAGATAAATTCATTCTAACCAATTAACAAAACAGTACAAAAAAGCAAAGTGATGTAGGCACTGAATGCGACGGACATGAATGCCAAGTGTTCGGGTAGGATGTTGTAATACCCGTCTAAAAGAAAATAAATGCAATATGATTCAATGATATGCATTTTTCATTGAGGGCATTGTGTGAACAATTTTCAATATATCCTGACATGTTTATCTTTCACTGGACCAAATTTGCGTGTTATTTCGTCTGAAAACGCTTGGTTTAATTTCTCTGTACGATATATAGCTTCATGCGCGCCTGAATGCCTTTCTGTCGCAAAAATCGTTTATATTGATGTCATAAGTTTATATCATCATATCTTATCTCAGAAACTGTCCTACATCCAGCCATCTCCAGTGGGGGTAGGTTTTGCGTGTGTAGGCCTTGCGCGAGCCGCTTCAATCAGTCCATTTTGTGTTATCTCAATGAAACTGAAGTGCATTAAATTTATATCACATTTTAAATATGTTTTATGTATTATTAAGCAATAGAATAGCATGCGTATCTGATTGAATGTCCTGTCTAAAATCTTGCTGATGGCGTCCACAGTGTTTATATACGTAAACGATGCGATATGGCACCTTTTTAAATTGAAAACATGTTGCTTGTTTGCATAGAAAACATTACATGTCACGTTTTTTACAAAAAAAACATGTCACATTTTTGCATAGAAAAACATTATATGCCACGTTTTTTGTATAGAAAACAGGACATTTCACGATTATGATTATAAAACAAAACCGGCCTGAAAGCAGTACAACTTTTATTAAATAAACAGATTATCAGAGCACAGGAATATATACACTACAAGGATTCATATTAGAAGTTATTCACTACTACGCTTTATATATTTATCGCAGCATTAGAAGCGTTGACTGTTTGTGATAACATTATCTTATCAGTTCTCTGTGTTTGTAGAAAAGATTTATAACAAATTAATTTATCAGGTAGGCTTTGTATTTAGTTTCACCTTGTAAAGGGATACAGTGCATTTTCCTATTTACAAAAGATTAGTTCTTATTCAACTTAGGCCGCAGAGTTTCTTAGATGTCACATTTAGATAAGCTATATAAATGCATGCCCTTTCAACATATAATCAGGCACAGTTTTTACTGAAATGTCTTACTAAAGACTGCCCAGGATTTATACCTTTGTCTTTGCAATACTATCATGTTTCTGAAAATTGAGTGAATAAAAAAGCGGGAAAATGATGCAATTAAGTAAATGAAACATGTACATTCTTTTTAAAAAGTGGAAAATGTAAGAAAAAAAATATTTTGAGCTTATAAATTGATGCAAATTCTTTATTTCATGAAAGTTATTAACTAAATGAACAAGATCATTTAAAATCCATTTTGATTCTACTTTTGAAAAACAGATTTTTTTTTGATTTTTTTTTTTTTGCTCTTCTTTTTGTTATCAGTGTTTTGACGAGACATTGTAAACATTTTCTGAAATGCACAGGTCATGTACACTGAATCAAGAAAATAATAAAAATAACAGCACTATCACAACTTCGGGGCACATATTTTGTGTCAAACCTTGACAGCCACAAACTTATAGAAAAAATAGAACGTGAAATTTTCTTGCAAGGAACTATCTTCATGGATGTCACGTAACCTCTCTTTAAAAATCATTCAAGTAGGGTGTCTACACTATGCAATACAAGAGAATATGATACTTGCATAGGTGTAGACGCGACCTAAAGTAAAGCATACCAACTTTCTTTAAGATTAAATTAAATTTCTTTTTTCTGCTAACATTATATTTCTATCACTATATTATGTTCAAATTATTCTTTTTACACAATTTTCACCAGAGACATAATTAACGTCTTTGATTTTACACACCCAAAATGAACAAATGGATTCTGCTTAAGTTGATTCACAAAATATTCATGATATTACAATAAACATCAGATAAATCAACAAAATTTACTCTGGCTGTAAGTGGAGAACTGAAGATATAACAGTACTTTATCAAATCTCAACTGAACAATCCATTTTCTTTAAAACCCAAAAATCATTATTATATTTACAACTATACTTATTACGGTTAAAACTATATTTGGAAACCCCACCCACACACTTGTTTCGTGAACCCTAGAATATACACAATACAAAGCGGTTACTCCTCTATTATATACGAAGATTCTAGACGCATCCAGTGACAGAGTTAACGTATGCTTGTATTGTTCCATTTGTTACGTACACCAAAATGAAACTTAAATGACTAATTTTTGCTCGTATACTTATCACCTTATTTCTATTGCGTGACAAACGCTGTGAGGCCTATTTTTACATATTTTACCTCTTTTTTTTTTTTTGTAATCTATTATATGTAGATAATAAGTGCCGTCTGTAATGTGTGTAAATTACTTCATTTGTTCACTTCATTTTGTTCACTTCCCAATATTTTACTCTTTAAAGTATATATATTCAAATTTTCATGAAAATTAGCTATGTTGCTTTAAGATAGATGCCATGGTTCGCATTTCTCACCTTTTTTGTTATTTCATATGTGCACTTGGTTTGACTACTACAGAACGGAATTTTAAGCTTCCTATACAAGGTTATGAAGTTGTTTTGGCGGTCATATTTTCTCCTTTGCAATCCAAAGTAACAACTAATCTCTGATTAGTGATTATATCAGGGTGACTCCCCGGATACTAGTATTTACAGTATCTAATTTGTACAAAGATAAAGACTGGTAAAGCCGATGTACTTAATTTGTTCAAGTGTATTTACTTTGTATTAAAGAAAAGAATGCCTCCCGTTTTCCCGCCAACTTGTGCTTCGCGTGCATTTATACTCTCTGTTATAGTTTGATTTGTATCTCAAATTCATGCTCCAAAATTGACAATTATTCCATAAATAGAAGCTTTCTTTTTTTCTTTCTTTAGGCAGACAGACCGCGTTCCTAAATGCCAGATCATATTTGTATAAATAAGTTTCCCTCCAAAATGTTTTATTCTTTCATAAATTGACCCTAAATAATCATATAATCAGGACTGGTGAAGTGAAAAAGCAAACAAAAAATGTTGATACAAGAATTTTTAAAATTTTAAATAGACTTTATGGTCGTTAAATCCTTTCGAGATTTAAAAGAACTATTGTCCCTGGACAGAATAGAAGTACATGTACACTGCTGATTATAAACTTGTTACAATGTAAAAACATCTGTGGTGCTGAAATATTGAATACAGAATCTTGCATATCAGGCCAATTTTCTGATAAACATATTGTTCCTTCCTCTCTGTTATTATAAGTAAAAATTGTCAGAAGTTCAAGACCCGCACAGGTTTCATTCATAAATGATGTTTCTTTTACACGCTGACCTATTACTAATAATAAATCGACATACAAACTGGACATAATAACCAAGATATTGTATACATTTCTAAGAGCATGAAGTACCTGACCATTGGTCAAGTAATACAAACGTTTCCCCCAAATTAGGATTCATGTTTCACCAAGATTCGGAAAACGTATAAATTGAACCCGCTTCCCGCAAACCGCAGTTTCGGATAGTGGAGTTCAATACTTTGTTCTTATTTCAGGTAAACTAAAATTCTTCTTCAAAATTTATAAGTGGGGAAATTAAAAATCTGTTCATATTGTTTATTATTTTAATGTATTCATTTTTTTCTTAGAAATACACACAGTACTAGTATTTGGATAGTTATGATTTATTTAAAAAATATTTTGCTATAATTTCATATAACAAACTATATTTACAATTAACGTTCGTATATTTTGAAAAAGAATATTACTTTTATATTTTTCATAAGAATATTAACTTTTCATTACAATTTATGCTATATAGATAAGTATTAACATGTTCAGGAATTTTGTACAACATAAAAATATAATATGTTTTGTACTACATGATATGAAAATAAAGTTTCGGATAGGAGAGTTCAATATTTTGTTCTAATTTCAGAATATATGCCAGTCTTCTCTAAGAATCAGATCCCGAGTTATTCCCTTAAATAATAAACTCAAATTAAGAGCCAGCACAACAATATAGAGTGTATTATTAAAAACTACAAACAACAAAAATAAAAACAACCAGAAACTCGGAGAGAACCATTATTCTTAGAGGATAGGACTTTTTTTTATTACTGCTATGTCAACACCAGTTAACTACTTGTCGGAAACAGAACTA